CCATCCACTCCCTGGCTAATGTGTGACTTTTTTGTTTAATCTGATTCTGTGCAAAAACTAATAATCAACCAAAATCAATGTTGTTGCTAATCTTTGACATATCCAAGACTGTGTTAAAAAAAAACGGACCCCCCCAACATTTATTATATGGAAAATAACTGCTTTTTTGTGCATGTTTTTCATAGAAAACGCAAATTCATGTTTTCAAACTGGCAAGGGTTAAAATCCTGAAAATAATTTAAGATTTGGTATTTTTGATCATGACTGAAGTTGATTGAAAGATTTAACCCCAAAAAGTTTTAAAAAATATTAATCTGTTGTCATTTTAGAGCAGTTTTTTGAAGTGGACATTTTTGTCCCGAATGACTAATTTGTAACTTTTTTGTTCAATATGATTTTGTGCAAAAACTAATAATGCAAAAAAAATCCATTTTGTTGCTAATCTTTGACATATCCAAGACTGTTATAAAAAAAAAAGAGCCAGTCCCCAGATATGTATGTTTTGGAAAATAACACATTTTCTCTGTTTTCATCATGAAAAAAACCCAGCGGTTTCTTGTATTCAAAATGGCATTTAAAGGGTTAAAATCCTGGAAATGATTACATTTTTAATATTTTCTATTAGGGTGGAAGTTGCTTTAAAGATTGAACCCAAAAAGGTTGTGAAAAAAACCTTTTAATATAATGTTTTTATCAAAGCATTTTGCAGTGGACATTTTTGTCTCGAATGACTAATTTGCGTAGTCGATTTGTTACACAGTGAATTAAAGACCGATTTCAAAAATGTAAATCGGAATTCTAAAATAGATCGAGAAAATAGCCTTGTTACAAAAAATCAGGCCATTTGCACCAACACAACCAAAGTTATTGCAACATGAAAAGTGAAAAATGACCCATATGGACAAAAACGTCCACAGTGATACCGGAGGGTTAAAACGATCCATTTGGTTTATACAACATGTCATGGAATGGATTTCCTGTTTGGTCTAAACCTGCCAAGAGCATCTTTGATTATGTTTTTGTGGATCTGCATCTACTGTGTGTGTATTTTGGATAATAAAGAAGCTCAAACATGTATATGTAATATTGATATTATGCTGTAACAAGACCAAATAATAAAGCTATACTTTCTGTCATTTAGATAAAACATGACAACCTTTCCCCAGATGTCAATTAACATTAACATCTGCATAATGAGCTCTCTGAGTAAATCCCTGCAATCTGCCTTCTCTCTTTTTGGATAGGGAAGGGCTCTACACTTATACGTGCACCGGTATGATCAATACAGTGAACTAGAAATGTGCCATTTTTTATGTCAAGTGTTGTGTATGGCACAGATATGTACGTGCATGATCTATTTCCTGGGGAGAAACACTGAACGCTACTTGAAGCTCAGCTGCGTGCAGTTAACACGGTGCTCCCCAGACTTTGTCATGATCAGTGCTGGAGGGGAATGTGACTTTGAATTAATGAATCATTAAATGTTCTAAAATAGCATTAGAGAGTAAGGAAGGAAAAAGCAAGTACGATTCAAATACCTTACCCCGGGTGTAACTGAAAGCCATGGAGTTGGCAGAAATAAGGTGTAGGAACATTATTTATATGATAATCAGTGATATGGGGGACTTGTTAGCAAACAGTTGCTTATTAAAACATCCAGCAGTTTCAAAGCAAGATTATCATTTATTTGTAGTTGGGTTTCTTTCTCCTTTAGCCCGGTTTTTGGTCTCTGCCTCGGGTAGATGCTAACTTTGTGCTGTTTGGGGCTGAGCAGCTAGTGGACAGTGAGTCTTCTTTAGCTTTGTCACATTAAGTGATGACATTTACTAGAGTGAACTAAAGCAGTAAAGTTGCCAGACATAAAAAAATAAGCTGAAAGTTGCGAGACGAGAGGTGCTTCAGATTCAGGTGATAGTTCTCTGTAGGTTCACCATCAGGAGCAAGCCCCTTTCACATTGTCTTCACAATGCCATGTGATATATTGCTGATATAAATATAGCAATTATAAAATGTTTGTAACTTAGAGATGCAATCCCTAATTGATGGTTAAAGTACCTGAGGCCCCAGACAGCGATGCATCATGGATAGCTCGCTATTGTGCATGTTCCTCAGGAAGTTGTAGGCAGGCACCACCTGTAACGCTTCGCACGCCTCCATGTAGCCCGTCGGATCATACGCCTCCTCCTGATCTGCAATAGGAAAAAAAGACAATAGCCTGCTGAATTGTTCGCTATCAATACCTCTTTATGAAAAGCGAGATGTGGCACCTTCTCCCCGGAGGAGGACCTTTTGAGTGGGATATTGAAAACTCCCTGGTGGCTGATTTTGCCCTGTCAGTGGATCTCATTCATACCAGATAGTTTTCACTTCTAGCGAAAAAGGAGGCCTGACGCAAAGGCTGAGATGTAATCATGAGATGCAGAACAGAGCTTTACATGTGTGGGCAGCAGGCGCGCGTAGGAGTTACTGTTTTGTTTCTTTCCTGAAATCATTTAGAGAATGAGAAAACGTAATAGCAGAAGGGAGAAGATTAACAGATGGGATGACACGAGGGCTTCACTTTATCAATGCATGTTCTGATCAAGATCAAATTCAGATTCACATTCAAAGTACTTGCTGCTGGAGCCTGGTATACAATATATAATACAAGCCACAAAATAACATGATGAAATTGTTCTTTTAAAAAATGTGACACATCACCAAGCCTTTTCCTCACTTTTATTATAACAGGGAACATCACACCCTTTATCATAAAATGAATAGCTTTCCCACCCTTTATCTCCCTTCTTTTACCTCCGAGCTCCAAGTCTGTGTCGTAGTCCTCATTGAGGATCACACAGTCTTCCCCTCCCAGCTCTTCCTCTTGATCCTCTTCCTCTTCAACCTCTCTTTCACCCCTGTCTAGCAAATTCCCGCACGGACTTGAGCGTTGGTCCTTTGGCCCACGCACGTCGACCTCTGTCTGGCTCATTCTTTCCTGGATGGAGAATGAGAAAATAAGACATCGTGACTCCTAAAAGTGAGGAGATTGGATGGATTTTGAACAACTGTTTCCATCAATATGGTTGGATTGTATCACACTGTTCTCCAAGTTTTTGTAACTACTTATTTTGCCTTCCCACCTCTCTTTCGCCAGAGGCTGTTTTTGCTGTCTTTCACCCCCTTTTTCAAGGCCTAAGGCATGTCCACTACATTTCCTTTTCAAACTAGCATTATATTGTTATATTCAGGAATAAATCAGTCTGGCAACAACGCAAAAGTAAGTCCAATATGTATTGTCTTTAGTCTCAAACTCAATTTCATCACGGGCCACATCAGCATTATGGTTGCACTCAAAGGGCCGGTTGTAACTTCAAGACTATATAAAAAGACATATAAATATTGAATATATATAAAATAATGTATTATATTACATTATTGCCTCTGCATTGGATTATTATCGGAAAGGGTAATAACTTCATAATTAACTACGTCTGAAAGAAGAAGTCTGGGGCAAATAATTGCAAGTCTCTTCAGTAAGAATGTCACAATATGATTTTAAAAGAAAAGCCACATTCTGAAAAAAAAGAAGTGACATTTTGAAAAAGAGAAGTAACATTTGGAAAAAAATATCTATTTATGAGAAAAAGGCTAATTCTAAGAAAAAAGGCATATGACAAAAAAAGTCATATTCTGAGAAAAAGTCAAATTTGAGATGCATTGTGGGACATGTAGTTTATGGGCAACATGCTTCTTTAAAGTAGCATGTAACCGTATAATAAACATATTATATTCTTTGCAAGCTCTTGTGGGGCCACATAAAATGAAGTTGCGGGCCGGATTTGGCCCCCGGGCCTTGAGTTTGACACCCCTGCTTTAAACCGTCTTTTTGGTCTCCACCATCTCCTAGGGGAAGATGTCTGGATTTATTCACAAGGTAGCTGCTAACTTTGCCTTTGTGCTGGTGAAGCTTTTTCACAGAAAGTGATGATACCAGAGTAAAACCAAGAAAAGCTTCAGACTTGGGTGATCATTCTCATACGTTCTTTCTGAGGCCCTATGTGTGGACATTCAAAAATTATAAAAAATAAGCTGCCTCCATGATGTTTTTCTGACACTTACAATAGAGCATGCAGGCCTCTGATTAGATTGCATTAAAGTGTAATTAAGTCAGACTTTCAGGGTGACACTCCGAGTCCCCCCTGTTAAATAATTCATGCAAGTACACAGGTCAAAAGAACGATCTATTAAAAGAAAAATAGCAGGTCTCTCGCCTGTATTTTTTAGCCTTGCCCTAGGCATAGAAAGACCTCAGCTGTGTCTATAGAAGGTGTTATGTTGTGTCTATAGAAGGTGTTATGGTCTAGACCTAAATTTTCAAGCTTGATACACTCTTGCAGATCAAGGACATGCTTTGAATTCTCATCAAGTCCTTCTCTTATGTACTAATCAATCTCTACAATATAGAACATCTACCTGAACACTTGTACAAGTCTCCACTTGCCTACCTGGTTGTTCACACTTCAATGATCCTTCCTACCTCTCCCAGTTGCAGCATCTCACTTTCCAAATCATCGGCTTCCAGCAAAGAAGGTTGCTTTTTTGTTATCAATATTAAAATCACTGCACTGCATTTGACTAGCAGGTATGTGTCATCTTCTTCAAAAGGAGGGTCTTCTCTCTTTGGGCTAATGAGCGAGGCCAATGCTTCTCTTCCCAGTAGCCAGTCACCAATCAGAGTCCTTTATTGTAAAGTTTGGACCTCTTGTTATGTTGACACGTTTCCATGGCGATGAAAGGTATTTGTGCTCCGAGTTTAGACTCTCTAAGCCATGACTACCAGCACTTAAAGAGGCAGGAAGAACAGCGGAAGCAAATGGCTTGTTTGTATCGACTCTGTTTCAACATCTAAATCTGACCTTCATCTAAAACGCTTCAAAATGAAACGAGTTATACTGCAGGAATAAACCTGTTCAGTCCCGCTTCTCTCTTATATAAACAAGAATCACAGACAAACCACATGTGTTGACATATTCTGTAAATGTTTCTCTTTATTTGAAAGTAAATGCAAAGTCCTTGCAGTGGATGCATTAAAATGGAATATCCTCAATCAATTACACAACAAAGGTCATTATAGCAGAGGCTGATTGGATCAGAGTTGTTTATAGCAGCAGCAATATGCAAACACAGAAAAAGAAACCCCCTCCCCCATCACAATACAGTCTGACTGACAGTGCTGGTAAATAGACAGAGCTTTTAAAATATAAGCAGGAGAGAGAAGATCGCCATGCATTTAGTTAATGCTGCTGTTTTATCCCTAAACCGCAGAATAGCCTTTTTTTTGTTCTTTTTTTTTTTTTTAAATTAAGCAGAATCAAAGTGCTCCTTTACATAATCAAAATACATTCTTAGAAAAGATCGAAGTAGTACTCTTTGTATTTTATACTTTGAATATATATCTATAGAAGCTATATATAGAAGCTATATGTATCAATTGTTTGTCTTGCTGCACATTTTACATCACAGACGTTTTCTTGACGGCTCCCATTCCAATGAAACTAAATGTGTTGAAAACAAATTATACAGATTGTACAACAGTGGGGACATGGGGTATCCCCCTCTTTATCCAGGCAGTGAATAAAAGATCATTTGGAAAACGAAAAGCTGTGAGGGACGTTTGAAAATCACATTGAAATCTGTTTATCATGCTAACAGTTACCTTTAAAATTTGAATCAAAGACAAATAAAGAGAACAGACAAGACTCAGAAGCGGACAAGAAAAGCCACAAGTTACTGCAGAGTGGGTGATCAAGAAACAATGTGGCCCCTCCACCAATATATTCAATTTACAACCCTGATGCATTGGAAAGCAGAACATGACCACAGCGGCAGTGGGATTGCCTTTTGTCCCCGAATGAAAAACATCACCGGAACTTATAACAATAGTACTGAACTGCTGAGATCAAAACTTAAAAAGCCATCTGGGCAGTTTCCTGCCATTAAAATACCATCTGTAAGATTTGCAGGATTGTGTGACTCACAGAGCAACAAATTCATGCTTATTTTAAATGTGACTGTTTGACAAGGTAACAAACAACAAGCAGAATCTTCATGTAAAACATACACCTGAGCACATGCATGTTTGAATCCCACTCCTATAGAGATGCACACTTCTGAATTGTTATGGCACATACACACGCATGCGGATGCTACTGAGCAGGTGTGTGAGATCACAGTGAAAGGGTGGCGTGTAAGCCTAGGGTTGTGCACAATCATGCAGAGGGGCAAAAGAGAATGAATATGCTGTATCTAGGCAGATCGTTAATGTAAGGCAAGAGGAATAGGGAGTTATGATGTGGATAAATGCACATTTCAAAACTCAATAGCTTAAAATGTTTAGTTACATGTCATTTTTAAAGGAAACGTTTCACAGAGTAAGATGAAAAGATTGATGTTGTGCTATGGTAAATATGACGCTACAGCCAGGAGCCTTAGCATAGCTTAGAATAAAGACTGGAAAATGGTTAGCTTTGCTATCCAAATGTAACTGAATAAACAACATGTTTAAGGCTAACTATTTGAAACAACACTTTTGTTGGAAGCCAAACTATAACAAATCATACGACTTACACCAAGCCTCCATTTTTTTCAGAATTGGCTGTAGGATTGGAGTCGAGATGACTGCCATGTTGTTTTAACTCTGATTTGTGTAATATGCTTCTGCTACCACAGATGGCAGGAAAAACATGTCAACAAATGAGGACGCAGGTCTTAGTTTAGCATAATGGAGTTTAACCACATACTGTATGTAATGTCTCCATATGATAACGCAGCGTGACGGGGGGAAAAAAAGTTCACCTTTAGGGCACTGGTAGGGAGATATTGTTGCATTTCCCTAGGGTTCCAGTGTTTATGCTAAGCTAATGCTGCATTTAGATATGAAAGAACACCCCTGAATCAAATAAATCCTTGCTTTGTCTGTCTGAATGCCTCAAACGGGCTGTTGAATGTAGCTTCTCATTAACCATAGCAAAAAGTAGTGGTATCAATATTCTCATCTTACTCCTGGCAATAGAGATCAATGTATACCCAAAATAACACCTTTAACTTATAAACTAATGATTCGATCATTGAACAATAATATGCAAATCAAGAAATGTCAAAACAATGTTGCATCCAGCATGATTGATATATGATTAGGATAATATTTGATTGGGGCAAACACATCAATGATTAGATAGTTAAAATCTGAAAATGAATTGATTAGAGTTCTTTAAATATGAATCAGTAAGCCTTTTTGCTTCTTGGTTGACCTCCAAATTCCTATGCAGCTGCTGTTGGTGGGACAAGCACCAGCTGGGAGACAGAGTACCATAAGGATGTTGGGAGAATGGATAGGCCAATAAAAAGAGAGCTAGCACAGAGGCTGATGCGCTTTGATTGAGTGCCAGTAAATAGCTATATAATATGGTAGTTTAGGCTGTGAGAAAATCGCTGTTTTCATAATCAGGGCAGCCTGTTAGCATGCCAAATGAGCTTGCACAATATCTGTCTTTCAGTTGTTTCTATCTGCATGCCTGTACATCTTTGAATCATCTCTTCCATTTGACTTTTTCATTAAACTAATTGAAAATAAAACCCCAGCTCCAATAGATTTGACCAGCCCTGAATCCTTTCTGAATGTCCCTTTAATTCGTATTTCTGAAACATCTGCGGGTTTGTTATCAATGCCATACTTTAACTCGTAAAATAGGAAACCCCAATAAAAGCCTTTTAACTGTAACAATAACACAGAGTATATTATATTTCTTGAGTATATTCTCTTCTTGGTCATGCATTCACAATGAGGCAGGTCATTACACTAGGTGCACACATTATGAATCAAAATGATCAATTAATAATTTTTGGAAGTATCATCAACAAGCAAAACAGATTTTCAGAGAACAGAACATTTCCAACTTGCTACAGACAAAATTGCAGAGCCCAACAAAAACATTAAAGTGGTATAAAAAAAGAAAGAAACCTGTTTTCTTTTTTTTTTACAGTACAAAAATTGGCACAGTATTTTTTAACCAGTGTTGCTGTGTCCTCCAGATTGGTTGTTGACAGAAAGCCGCCGCTTCACGGACCTACACGCAGAAAACCCTGAGAGAGGAGACAGAAGGAGAGACAGAAAGATGGACAGAGAGAGCAGAGACATGGAAATAGAGATGTTACAGTCATTACTCATCCAACGAACCGGGGCTTTGATGGCCAAATGTGAAATTCAAGTGACAATCCACACAGGAGCCATCGTCTGTGATGCATTATGTTGGGGCTTAATGAGCCATAGTGGATATGTAAGGCCCTTGTTTTGCTCTCATGGCAAGAGTATATGAAGTGTCTAATCTTCAATGTGGACAAATGACGACAGAAACAAAAACAGAAATGGAGCAGACCCACTCGCTTTCACTCTAATCCTGTTAGTTTAAAGGCCCCTCTCCATGGGTTTCTATGGTTACCCACTCTGTTTTCATCTGAAACGAGGAGCGATAACACATCGGGCCCGCCAACAACTACAGGTTGGAGATTGGAGTTATACAAATGTCTTTCAGAGGAAAAACTGCCCTAGTCAATCAATGAGATAAATCTAAATGGGCTGTGCCAAAAAAACATTTTCTCTCTTATAATATGAGTTACCCAGCTGGCATATCGGAGTGGTTAAAAAATGATGTCTGGTAAATAAAAATAAACAAGATGATTACTAAAGCACATCATAGATCTTAAGCATCCCACGCTGTTCAGCTGTGTTGCAGATGAGTTGAGTGAGTAATCCTGGTTTCAAGGTTCAAGACATTACCATGCGTCCTAAATTCCACAACGAATCCAAAAGATGAATGATGAAGCAAAAGGGGACATGAATGGACAAATGAAAAAAATAAAATGATTCATGCCTGAGTCAGCAGGTTTGGATAACCAAATTAGCAAAAGGCTAGGCCCTTGGTCAATAACTGAGGAAGATAGTTTATAAGAAATGACGCTTATTTTTATGACTCATAGCGGATGAATCCTTCCGTTTCTGGTGACTCCAACTATCCATTTGTAGATAAGATATGTCAAAATCTACTGGGAAAGTTACTATACCATTACTATGGATGCCTTTCGTGTCATGCAAAAGCCAAAATGTTACAGGCAAGATACGTCTTTATCCACTAAGATTATTGCCTTGAAATGTGCTAAGGACATACATATTGGCTTTAGGATAAACTTTTGAATTAACCTAGGGAAAATGGAATAACACACTTACTCATCTGAGTCCTTTTTGCTCTCCTCAATGAAGGCTATGGACTCTGAGCGAAGCCTGTTGGTGACCTCATAGGTCCGCAGGGTGACTCCAAAGATGTCTTCATGGTAGCGGTTCTCATCCTGGATACAGTGGTAAGGTAAAAGTAAAGAGAAAAGGGGACACGAATATGAAATGGATATTGTTACACAGTAAATGACAGGACTGATTTTAAAGAAAGAAAATAATACCATGTATAATCAAATCTTAAACACAGCCAGAGGAGACCTTTACAATAAGAGCATGCAATTAAGATATATTATGGTTTCAGAATACTTCTTAGTTCGCTTTGGGGGTCTTAATATCATACATAGAATTTAAAATGTATAAGTAAATTGTACTTTTTATTTAAAGTTTAGAGATTTTAAAGATATCTTTATCCACTCTTACAATATAGAAAGACAGAGTTACGGACTGTGTTTACATGCCTGCAGTTGTTAGAATAGACAGATTCACTTAACAGTCAAAACGCCTCTTCAGTCAATTTGTATTCTACACATGTAAGTGTGTTAATTGTAGGCTTGTTGAAACGTGTCATTTTTTCTATTTATAGCCTGTTACCCTTGAGTTCACATGAATATATGAGCCAGTGGGGGTGTTTTTAACCTTCATTTTCTCAAGTTATCCTGACTCAACACGCCTTCTGTTTTTCGACTGCTCCATGCTAGCACTCAGTTACATTCATGTGAAGAAGCTAACCTGTAACACCTCGCCTGTTCATATTCACTTTTTTCACAGCTCATCTAGGATTCAAACCTTTGACCCTGACAGTACCAATATTCCAACCCTATAATGGTGAACATCATTGTGATAATGTTGCACGGTGACCTCTACTTGTTCTTACCCGCAGCTTGCTGATGAAGAAGCCAGCATCCTCCAGGGTCATTTTGCCTTGCTGCCTGATGATTTGCTGGATGGTCTTGAGAACATCCCCAGCCATTGTAACATCCCCACACACGTAGATGTGTCCTCCCTCCTCCCTCAGGCACTGGTACACCGTCTCTGACAGCTGCTCCCGCAGTACATCCTGTACGTATTTCTGACAGAGAGGCAATGGGAAATGATGGGTGTGAATTAGGAAGTCAAGTGTGAGACAAGTAAGGGAAGCAAACGATGTGAAAAGTCAGAAGTACTGTACAATGACAGAAAGGGAATAAAGTTAAATAAAGTAGCAAACTGCAAGCTCAAAGAGTGTTGGATACATTGGAAAAGTATCTTTCTATATAAGGAGGACCTAGAAGATGGATACAAACTAAATGCTAGATATAAAGTCAATTAGAGAGTCCAGACCTAAGCCAAGGTTGATTGTGCAGTCAAGTGCTCCTTGGGCATTTCCATTTCCACAGTGAGGAATTTCCCAAAGAACACATTTTGTCCACTTATTCCAACATTAAATAAAAGCAGCACAAATGCCCTATCTCACAATGTTAACAGCATTTAAACATTACTAGTTTATCCACCACATGATTTGGAACAGCTTTCCAATTAATGTGTTCTTCCTTTATCCAATCTTCATCTTCATAATCCTGCTAATTAATCGAAAGCATAACCTCCTCTGCAGAGATAATAACTTTACCTTGGGATCAACTGTAGAAAATCGCCAAATTGAGATACATTATGTGAATCGGAGTGAACTATCTCCTGAATACAAGCACAGCATTTTTATACAGCCTTTCTTCTACTCTAATTTTATTTTAAACCCACACAGCAACCCAACATTCTGCTGACTCATCCACAGCTATGGAATGTTTAGTGCTTGTACCTTTGGTTTGCCGGGCTCTCTTGAATAGGCCGTGTAGAGCTCCTTGAACGCTTGTTTGTTCTTGGCCTGGATGGTCTCCTCGTTGTAGATGTGGTCCATCTCAGACTGCCGACAACCGAACACCAGGGTCATGGGGCACGACTCCATTCCTAAAAATTATGACAATCAGAGTTACTTTGCTGCTCTGAATGGTGATGAAGAAGAAACAATCTGCTGTTTTGTGTATTACCTTGATCTCTGATACGGATTTGATACGACTTCTATTAATACGATATATATGCGAGGTGCACATGATAGCATTTATCCTTGATATTCTTATAATAAACCATCAATCAATACATTCCTCCAGCTAGTTCATGTTCAGCAGGGACAATCCAACGCAACGCCTCTCTCAAAGATAACAATAAATAAGGAAGGAGAAAAACAACCTACCGTTGTGTTCAAGGTCAAATAGTCTTTGTTGCCAGAAGCTTCTGAAAGGGGCGATACCTGTTCCCGGGCCCACCAGGATACAAGGTGCTTGTTTGTCTTTGGGAAGTCGGAATGATGGTGCACTAAAGTAATTCATTAGACAAAAAAATGAAGCAAACATGTAATAAAAGTGATGACTAAACTTTCGACATTGGGGAAAAGGTGTATTCTGTTTCTGGATTGTCTGACAAAAGAACATGATCTCTGGTGTCTGCCAGCTGAATATGAAACTGCAGCAGCTGGCTTACTTAGCTTAGTAGAAAGACTGGAAGCAGCTACCCTGGGTCTGTCCAACAATAACACAAAACCTACAAAGCCCACTGATCAGCACATTATGTTTTGTTTGTCTAGTCTATAATGATACAATGCTGTTTTACATGGATTTATATGGTTTTATTTCTTGGTATGCTACCAGTGGAGACTCCAGGAAGTTACTGGCTCTGACTGGGAAACAGCTTGGTTGTTTTATTGTTGATTAACATGTTCAGATCAAACATGTTAATTAGTGAGCTTTAGAGGTGCTTGTTTGTAGAGTTTGTTACTTTAGAATGAGCTAGCTGTTTTCCTGGTTTCAGTCTTTGTGCTCAGCTAAAGTAAGCTAGCTGCTGGTGGTGGTTCACATGTAGCATGCAGACATCAAAGTGTTATCTTTTCTGAGAAAGAAGATTAGCTTTTTCCCTCAAAATGTCAACATTTTCTTTTAACAAATAATACTGACTCAGCTGACATAAAACACATTTTGGGGGGAAAAAAACCTATTTTATGATATTTACCCTCTGACAAAGCATGGCACCATCTCCCCCTTCTCTATGCTGTTGAGCCACGAGGAACACACTCCATGGTGAATAGGTCCCACTCCATCTGAAAGGGATGATTATTACCAAGCAGTCACTTTACCATTTTCTCTCCACCTCCCACTCTCTTTACGAGCAAAAACCAACAGAAGAAGAGTGGCCCCAACACGTTTTCCAAGGCCAGGGCTGCTCTCCCCCTCAAGGTAAATTACATTAATTCAAAGGTTACCTTTACAAGTTATATTGTTTCCACGGGTACAAATGACACGTATGAAAGAAAATAGCAGGGTTAGCATCTGGTAATGTTTGTAATATAAGAGCCTTGTGATATTCATGCTACAGAATCCACGAAACTTGAATAGCCATAGTAATTTTAATATAGTGTCAGACAGACTGATATACCTGCAGTGTTTCCTCTTATTTGTGTCTGTAACTAGAATATGTTTGTAGATATAGGCTCTTCCTGAGGCGTTTCTAAATCTACGTTTCTTGTAATTACAGTTGTGGTCTGGTTGCCCTATGAAGCAGACCGGCTTTCCATGATAACTTCCAATCAATTTTCTTTGAGCCATTGGAGGGTTCTCACAGAGGCTGAGTCATTTGATTCTGAGTCTTTTCAGCAACCTTGAAAGAGCCACAGCACAGTGCCTTTTATCCTTGGCTCAAACTGAACTAAAGGAAAAGATATACACAGGATAGGCTCTTATTGCTAGTTTATGTGAAATGATTTAATCAGGGTTGGTTGCAAAACAATGACGCAACTGCACAAGACACATGCAGACAGCAGGCATTGAATATACTAACTGGCTGGGCAATCTGTTGATATATTGATATTGTGATATGATGCTAGATGTTGCGTTAGATGTTGTACAATGGTATTATGGCATACCTCTTTGCCTGGTTATACTGTAAAGGCTGCATTGCAGTAAGGTGATGTCATTTACTGAACTCTCCAGATTTTCCTAGCTCTTTTATTATTTGCCTTCACCCATTCCGTCATTACCAACAGAACTCTCATTGTGTTAATATCTTTTGAAAGCATCAATGGGGATTTTTTATGAATCAATATCTATTCATATCCATTTTCAAATACTTTAATGGCATGATTATCCGGTACCACTTTACAATAAGACTACCCTTATAAAGGATTCATAAAGGGTTTATAATTAGGTTATTAACAGGTTGTAAACACTTAAGTAATCATTAATAACCATTTATAAACCAGTTCTAACATAGTTTGCATACATCAACACAGGCTCACTATTTGGCAAGAGGACTAAGCCTTATATTGGCTACCTAGCGAGAATCAACTCAGTGAGCAACAGATACCAAGGATGCTAGCTGATGAAGAAGACGAAGTAAACTAGGTAGCCAATGGCTTAGCAGTACAGATAAATGTGTGCTCACCAGGGTGGGAATTTCACGACGGCCACGACGGCCATGGCCGTCGTTGCCCCGCACTTTGGCCGTGATGCCCTGTGAAAAAAAATGCAATTCACGGCCAAAGTGGCCTTGGTGCCCCTGTTAAAAGTTCCAGTGTAAACAACGCTAGTAAAGTCATATTAGTGCGCGCAGTAGGATAGTCCCGTGTCTGTGGATCAGAGCGATTGCTCTGCTGTGATTGTTCCGTCAGAAATGCCGGTAGGGGCCCGACAGCCTCCTCCTCAGCCGCGGGAGCAAGACAAGCACAGGTAAGCAAGCGGACCAAGCTGTTTTGATATGATTTAACTGAAGTATGTGGTAGTATTTGAAAGGACTTAACATTTACGTGTTTATAGAAAGTACTATTGATAGGTAATTACCATTGTATTAGCCTATTTAAAGTCGACTCGTTACATTTTGTCATGAAAACTAGCGATAGCTAGCTAGTTTGGATAGCGCTAACGTCTTCCCTTCAAGGGGTCTACATCTAGTGTTGCTTCTACAAGCTAGCAGATAGCTGTCACCTTTGAATCTAGTATTTTTCTTGCTAAGCGGTTTTGATATAATACATGACTGACTTATGTGGTTTATGGCTGAACTTAACGTATACGTTAAAGAAACACTATTGCTATTCAGCCATTTGTAAAACGACTGGTGTTGACGTTAGTGCTACACTTTTCAGTCATGTTGATTGACCAGCGTAATTTAACCAAACGGCCTTTGTGCCCTGTCATGTGGCCTTTGTGCCCTTAAAAAAAATGTGAACGGGAAGGCCAAATGGCCTTGCCCCTAAAATGACGAAATTCCAAGCCTGGTGCTCACTATTTTTACATTACATTACATTGCATTTAGCTGACGCTTTTATCCAAAGCGACTTACAATAAGTACATTCGACCAAGAAGATACAACCTTGAAGAAAACAGAATCATATAAGTACATCAGGTTTCATAGAGCCAAACATTTCAAGTGCTACTCAACTGGCTTTAGATAAGCCAGTCCTTTATTAGTATATAAGTGCTTTGTTAGTAATTATATCGCTCGAAGTGGAGTCGAAAGAGATGAGTTTTCAGTCTGCTCCGGAAGGTGTGTAAGCTATCTGCTGTCCTGATGTCAATGGGGAGCTCATTCCACCATTTTGGAGCCAGGATAGCAAACCCACGTGTTTTTGCTGATGGGAACTTGGGTCCCCTTCGCAGCGAGGGTGCAGCGAGCTGTTTGGCTGATGCAGAGCGGAGTGCACGTGCTGGGGTGTACGGTTTAACCATGTCCTGGATGTAGGAAGGGCCACTATTTGGCAAGCAACCGGTCACAGTTGCCCTGTTTATCGCATGTCTTATAAAAGCTTATTCATGATTTATAAAGTGTTCAAAACCTAATTAATAAATGAATTACAAACTATTTGTAAACCCTTTATAAGGGTAGTCTTATTGTAAACAATTTATAAATCATGAATAAGCTTCTTTTTTTTTATCCCAACCAAATTCACAAACTTCCCTTATTTTAAGGACCTACTGTAAGGGAACCATGCTTACTGCTAAATACAGTTTAAACCACAATCATGGTTGAGCTAAATGTCAAGAAAGTGGCAATACAAAATGCCAAGAAAGAAAGAGACCAATTCCAGACCTTCAAAAGCCTAATGGGAGCATTAAAGTTCATCCTCAAAGAGAGCAGCAGAAAATACCAACGGATACAACCCACACAGTCTTAAAATCCTTGGAGACACAGCAACTAATGCTCAGAGAGCCAAGTGGGGTCCTTACCCCGAGCACGGTAAGTGACCACAGCCACGGTGAGGTGGATCTCTTCTGGGTGCAGGTCTGGAGAGGAGCTGATGGAGTAGTAGCGAGGCTGCAGCAGGGGCAGCTGGGTGAGCAGCAGAGTGGAGGGCATCTGAATGGAGGGGAACTCCTCCAGCACCTCCACCAGCGTCGGATCATTGAACCACTTCCACTCCTCGTACTCCTGCAAGCCCTGGGGGGTGATGAGAAAAAGACAAGGTGGGATAATTACAGAGGTTGAAGAAGTACTTAGATCCTTTACTAGAGTAAAAGTATGAATACTATATTCTTAAAATACTTCATTACAAGTAACAGTCCTAAATGTAACATGTTTATTGGCGACAGAATTATTATCAGGTATATGAACATAAAGTATATACTACTAAATACAGTTTAAGTAGTCTTAATGCAGAACATCATGATACTATCCTGTTTTGTACCTAATAAATATATGTAAGAACCTTTTAATGTTGGAGTTTGTCAATGTGGAGCCGATTTTAGTTACAAGATACAGCAGAGGAGTACAAAGTTAGATATTTGCCTCTGAAGTGAAGCAGTGGGGAAGTATAATGTAGCATAACATAGAATTACTCAAAGTAAGATTGTGTCAAAATAGTACTTAAGTATGGCACATGAGTTAACGTACTTAGTTTCATTGCAGCACTGGATAAGTTCAGATGGATATGTATCAGATTTAATTTCTGTCTAAGTTAGTTTTTGAATTGTTGTTGTCCTAATTAAGAAACCTGAGTAGCTGCCATGATTACAGAAAGAAAATAGGGGGTGGTTTCCTCTTTTGGAAAACGTCTGACTCGAGAGCAGGAGGCAGCCACAAGCGGAGCCATTCACCATTCACTGCCCAACTGTTTTAGTGTGTCATCATCACTTACATTTGGGTGGGATTTATTTAGAGCACTGCCACAAGGCTTAAAAACTTTGATATATCCCCAACTTTTGCTTTGTTTTCAAAGTGCTAATGAGCAACACAGTGCCCTTGAAGAAGGCGAAGCAATGTTAAAAGCGCGGTGTGAACAATTAGCAAAAGTTTAACAAAAGAATACTCTTGGGCCTGTGTTTTTTTAACCTTGATGCACAGATGGGGTTTTAGGGGGTCTTTTCATGAACTGTTTTGAGATTGCTTATGAATATGCAATCATTTTTAAGATAATTTCCTCCTTCGTGCTTTTGAAAATACATAAAAAGAACACAATAACAAAACAAACTTAACAGCTTGAATGTTCTCGAATGCTTGATATGATTAAAAATACTAGGAATGTCAGAGATCCATGCTTTAGTCCGGAAATGAGCTTGAAATTAGGGCATATACAAATTGAAATTATCTGCAGTGCTGATTCTACAGTACTGTTTCTGAATTCCTCTTGCTTTGGTGACAATGATTCGATGTATGAGCATATGAGTCACTGCTTGGCCTCAGCCAGCCTTCTCCACACATTGACAGAAATGGAGAGTGAATTGTGGGAGGCACTGCATGGGGGAATGGCTCTGACTTAGAACGAACAACGGCTATAATTTGGCGCCAGCTCACTCCTGCTGTACATATTTCTGTCGGAGCAAAGTGCAACAAATCGGCATTCAGACACAGAAAACCATGTCCCATATTCTGATGGCAAACATGAGAAATGCGTTGGTTATTGTTGTGTACACATGTCGACTCTTTCTAGAACTGTGCTTCAAAATGTGCTTCAGTATAAATATCTGCATACATTTGGCACGCAAGAAAAGAGAGCCTAATTTTGGATATAGCCTACGCACATACATTGCAAATCCAACATTTAGCTCAGTTAGACTGAATTTACCTTGCTGAGGACCTCTAGTTTCTTTTTCTGTTTGTCATTGGTTGCCAGAGCAGCAAACTGCTGCAGCAGCACAGGGCTAGGTGGGGTGGTGATGTCCAGGAAGTACTGGAAGGCCTGGTAGATGGTGCAGGGAGGGATCCGAGTTTCATTGGTCCAGTTACTGATAACACCTGTAGTAAGGAAAAAAAGATTCAAGCTGCATGCATTCATATTTTTCATCCTCAGTGCATTAATGTGTAACTGATGAGCTAGTGGTGTGGAACCCACAGAAAATTCAACGAAAAACACCCAACTGTGAATTCCCCTTAACTCCATGCAGAGTTTACGCTTCTACCTTTGAATATTTTTTTTTTTCCTGGTCTGAAAATTCACTGAAAAAAAAAAATCACAAATAAACCCATATTTCTGCCCAGCACCAAAAGGGCACACAATGGTATTACATACTTAGTTGTTCATAGGCAATTACATATCACGTACTACATATTATATATAGTCAATACTATGTGATACTGTGTTTCCAGGATTTCAATACCTATTGAAACTTTATTAAATTAGCTTCATATGAAAAATTATTTTTATTTATTATTTTATTTATTTATTAGTAAAGTTCTTATATGCTGCTTATAAATGCCACGACACAGGATGGCTTTATGTGTTAAGGTAACGTTTGTTTAAGCTCATGTGATGTGTTTGAAAAACACCTTGCTTCACAGCCACAGTTAAAATCACACTTATGTCACACGGTGTCACCACAACTGTGTCTGACTTCATCTCGTCTGTTGATTCAAGAGAGTCTGTTTCTTATTCATGTTCAGATTATGACATCCTGCCCAGATTCCAACTGCTACCCTCCAGTTTGCACGCCTGCCGTATCCGTAAAGTACCATGACGTTGCTGATAGCATCACCCACCTAGGGCAGTGTTCCTCTCATCCAGGAACTCCACTTTCATAATTTGATTGACAGGCAGAGCATCCTCCAGTTTATCTATGAGTGCTGTCACCAGGTCCTCGTGGTTGCCAGGGAAGATGCCCAGATGGTCGCCGGGCTGGTAGCTCAGTTTGTCGTGGTTGTTAGTGTGGAGCCGCACAAATATGGTGGAGCGACTGCAAAAGAGATACAGTATTTGGGGAACAGCGACGCACCATTTTCAGTCTGTTCCATTTAGTTTGTGCAGCACATTAAACCAAATGAAGGAGTTGGAAACCAGAGTGCATTACATCAAATAAGAATATATATTTTTACAAGCTTACAAAACCGTTAACATGTGACTTATCCTGTCCTGTTTTAAAAACATACTTACTTGGATTTAGAACTTTGCAAATTTTGAGATTCTAGCATCTTTGCACCGTACACCATCTTCTTGTGAACACTGTGCAATGCTGTTGATAGACAAAAACACAATTATAATTTTACAGAAACAGACTGTCTCATGGGCGGCTCTAAGGGGGGCCCAACAAGAGCCAATGCCCCTGTAACATTGAGCTTAGAGCGCTTTGTGCCCCCCTTCCAAAAGAAGAATTGATCATGTTATTGTTTGTTTTTTTTAATAATTGAATTGAATACAATTGTAAATCATTTACAGAAATAAATTAGGCTAAAAAAAAAAATTCCAACAAAAATTTAGAAATCAAATCAAATCACAGTTTGACTGTATAAATCATGTAGCAAATACATTCCTGTAACCTTGGCCAAAGTAACTCAAACTAGTAACTAAACTAAAATTGTAACTAAGTAATTGACACAAATTATATTACTAAAACAACAACCAGGTTTAGGTTTTTTGTCATACTGAACTCAAAGACTGACTTTTTAGACTACCTATAAGGCTATGTAAATTAACTACAGTAACCCCCCTTCTCTTTATAATGCAAAAGAGTCCAACAGCTAAAGAAAATGACCAAATCTCAGCTCTAGTTGACATTTTGGATGAGTCACTGCACTTGATCAATAACCTTGACGCCCCTCTGCAGATACATTATAGTGGGGATCAAGACGCCATCAATATTTTTCACTTAGCTCCCACTGGATTATTATGCACCTTCTGTGAGGGCCGGGGCCTCGGCTGTGTACGTCATGCGGAACTTGCTCTTCTTCCAGCTGCGGTCGTTACTGATCAAGGAGTTGTTGGCCTTCTCGATGTTCACGTCATCGCCAACACAAAACACGTCACAGGCAGCCTTGACATGTAACAACCGGGCAAAAGGAAAGAAAATGAACATTTTTCAAAGTGTGCCCTCAAAGGAATAACAAAGGATTTGGAAAATTATCTCTGCATTCAAAGTAGGACTTCCCCCACCAACTCAAGGTCAGTGTGTGGCCATCCATGGCCAAACAACACCACTGTTGGGGTTGTTCTAAAGGGATGAGGGTGCCTTCTGATGTAGTTTTCTTTGTTGTGGTAGCACAGAAAAATTGGGACCTATTTCAAAATGAAGTCTTGGCAAATACCCAATTAGATTTTAATGTGTCATGAATTAAAGTTAAAAATGATGTGCATGTTGTTCCCATTTGAACAACATGTAAGAATCTAGAGTCTTATCTTCTAGAACCAATTCACAATTCCAAAAGTAGATTAATGTTAATATTTAGTTTTCAATAAAATAAGCATCCTTTTTTACTGACTGACTGCCCATAACCCTACACACTGAGTCAAAGTTGTGTCAACATAATTTTTTGACATGACGGAACATACACATTTTGCAGTGTTGTTGTGCTTCCTATATGTTTCTGAGAAAAAGCCAGAAAGCCTAAGCACACCAATTGTATTTATGTGACGGGCAGCATTTGTATTTTGTGGTGAAAATGGTAGTGAGAAATAGTAATAGTAATTGTAATAGTTCTAGTTGTGAAAAGTTGGCATGATTAAATGTCACCTTTTGTCCTCGGTTTACCTTTGTGTGTTAATGTTATTACAATCAATGAATAATGTAATTTTGACAAATATGAGAACTCTAAAATCTTGTTCACACTTTACACTTCATCATGCCATAATTTGCCAAAACCCCTTTATTATTATAATGGATTAAATGCTGAAATTAACATCACTAACTGAATCGGAAATCCCTTTGAATCAAGAATCAATATTCATTTAACCAAGCCCAAAGGGTCTTGAACCATGAAACATACCTTAAAAACCTTCTTGGCCCAGGTTCTGAATGACTCCTCCTGGCCACACAGCTCATCTCCCTCTCCCATACGTAGGATGCGCTCCCCCCCCAGCTCTTCAAACAGCGTGTCCACAGCGTGGGCAAAGGCGCAGAAGTGTGGGTAGGCCCTGGAGCCAAGGCCAAACACTGAGAACCTAAACAGAGACACACACAAACACATACACAAGAAGGAAGAGAGAGAACAAGTGTGAGAGGCAGATAGCGTTAAAAAAAGATAGCGTTAAAAAAAACGTTCAAATCCAAACACAAACCAGCGTTGGCAAATCACCGCCAACAAAGCCATGTCTGAATCCCCAGAATTAGTAGTCTTAGAGCTTTTGATTAGGTAGAAAGGTGAATGAGCTGAGTTTTCAGAGGGCAAGAGATTCAAACCACAGCTTCGCAACTTACTTCAACGTACGGAGACATGTTTGTGTTTCTTTCATATTCAAAATGTCAGGAATCTGTCCACTGCAATTAGATTTGAAATCCAGAAAATAAGTTTTACATGCAAAACACATACAAATGACAAACGAAATGCTCAATTGATAAGACATACAGAAAAGGCTATGTATAACCATTGTTTAGACTATAATGACTAGTGAGAATTACCTTGAAATTATAAACTGTAAATTACTACAGTATTGCCTACTGTGTGCAGTGAAAAAAAAATAAACATGGCCTTCAACAAGTTATACATAATTGTATTAGATTAGATGAAAGCAATATAATATTATTGCTTTCAAATAACCTAATACAATAGTGTATGTGTCATTTGTTGACATAATACATGTATTTAAGTCAACGTTTCAGTTGTTTTTCAGTGTAGGATGGCTTTTGTTTGACAAGTTGTTAAAGTCTTATTGTATGGCTCATTTTTGTTTACCTGACATTTGCGAGTGGTCCGGTGCTCTCAAAGTTAATCCTGGGTTCTGGCTCGTCACTGGAGGACTTGCGAGTGTCAGAGTAGGAGGACACACTGTTGAAGCGGACCTTGTAGCTCCTGGATGGGAGGCAAAAGCGGAGAGATTAAAAGCATGGACACATAACTCAAGGAAAAAGGAGAAAAATCCACAATGCAATACAAACTCACTTTCTATCTTCTGTGTTGGATGTTGGGTGGCGCATCTCCATTAAGGCAGCTCCAAATTTCTTCAGTAGCCAAAGAAGGACTGTTAGTAATCCATGCATCTGCCTAGTGTTAAATAACCAGAGTTGTGAATATATAAATATACATACCTCTCCATTCTCTGGTGGATCACCATTGCCGAATGTGCTGGTCACCGCTAACACCAGCGTCTCGTGCTCCAGGTCCACCACATCGTATTCATCCATCGACATGACCTGCGGATAACAAAACAGGGCATCATGCAAATGAAATATTAGCCTCCACGTACAGGGTGTAGTCTTCAGTGTGAATTGAAGACTACTATTGAAGGAAAAATGGGACAATATATTTATGTAAACTTCCTTATCATCCTAGGACAAGATGATGAAGATGACATCATTAAACACCAAAGGAAAAAGGAGAGACTTAAATGTAGTTTTAAAAAAAAAAAAACATTACATGAGAACCTCTATATTTGTCACTTTTCCCTTTCTTTCCCACACTCTCTCAAACAAACACACCATGTGAGCCTAGAGATCAGCCGTTGTCTCAATCCTCCTCTGTCCTGATCATTGTGCTACTTTATTTAATTACATTTCCAGTGTTTTTCCATGTTGGGCGTTGCAGATTGGCTCTCATTACAGGCTGGTTGGGTGCTAATGACCCAACAATAATGAGCACAAACATTTTATGCTACATATATTTGACCAAAATGACAACAATATTTGCTTTGGCTAAACTACATTGACTGAAAACATAGACTTAATTGTCAAAAGCATTTATGAGTAAAATAGAACAAAATCAACTTTTTTCTTTGACTAACTTTCAGTGGAACTAAACCACATAAATAACAAATAAGGCTGGCTAATTATGATTTTGTTTTAACTCACAAAGACATTTGACATAGGACTAAGCCTAAATAAAAAATAACTGGGAAAATCAACCCTCGCCTTTTTAAGCTTGCTCTCCAGACACACATTTCTAAAGACAGATGACTAGAGCGTGTAAAATAAGGCTGAACACGCAGCCGTTGGCGAACAACAAGAGGTTGTAATGAACACTCCGTCCTCGCCTCTAACGAGATGATAATATGCTGCTGCCACACAACGAGCATCCATGATGTATGCATACCGCTCAACATGAATGTGTTAGTCTGCCACAGGACTCACTTGTACTTCACACACACACACACAAAGACACACACAACCAAAGGCATGAAGAGGAAACAGGCTTTAGCCCCACGACAACGAAGATTTGCCCCCGGCACTCAAATCTGCCCTGCGATCCATCTACAGACACCCACTCTTAGTGACACACACATCCACACACACGAATCTCTTCTTGTACGATTGATCACACTGGGAAAACAGGAAGGGAAAATTAGACATGACCTGAAGGAAAAGCATGCAGTGTATGATTGAGAGCAGCGTGTTTAGCATTTTTTTCTAAACAGATTTGCACAGCCAGGGGTGCTTCGGGATCTTGTCTTAAACTACTGCACCGCTCAACGCATCGGTGGTTAAATGTTGCCTCCAACCCGCGGCACTTTACTGCATGAGAGAAGAAGAAAATGTGACAAAAGATACACTTTATTCTTGTATGCTCTCGTTGCCTGTACTCAGCTGGCATCTGCCCGGCTTCGTCAGCCACAGAGGGGGTAGAGGGGATGGAAGCGGGGGGGGGAAGGAACGATGTCTTTGAATTTCTCGATAACATGATGCAAGGCAGGAGCAAGGGTACCTTTGCGTCGAATGCGTGCTTGAAGATTTCACACAGAGTTTTGGCATAATCTTGCGATTTGCCCGTCTCCGTTGCAAACAGTATGGTGGCTTTCACCCTCTTGGCCATGGCTTGGCCCATGAGCTTGGCTGAAAACTTCACAGCCCTGCAAAGCAAAGAAAGAGATGGTTCAAATTGAGAAGCACAGCAAATCAAAGGGTAAGACATTTAGAAAAACAAAGACCATTGATTTAGGGGCACAGTTTGCTGATAAATAATTTGGTTTTGAGACTAGTGTGGTACACTTAGAAGCGGGAAAACAAATGTGTCAAGGGGGATGGATGACAATAATGATTACATAGCTTGTCATATCCTTGAGGAAAAACATTAAAAGCAGAACATGGGCGTGAACATGCATGCCTGCTCAGACAAAACACTGAAAGCTTTGATTACTCCCTGAGGGGTTGATTGAATAAATTGCACCGCTGATCACACCAGTTTCCTTCCAATGTGTCTCACTTTTGTCAGTAAAGTGATTACTAGTTTGGCATTAGATTAGACACATCCTACACTAAATTATCTTTGGCATTTGATGATGCAATTTAACCTTGACTTTAAAAATGCAGGGAGAACAAAGGAAGAAAAACAAGTCATACATTTAACAAACACTAAACCTTGTTTTTTTCAAATCTTTCTGTGTGACTGCATACTCACTTGGCAAGCTTCTTGAATCCAATGGTTCTTTTCTTTGTCGGCGTCCCGTTGGCTCCCTTCCACACATAGGTATTCCAGGGATCGAGCTTTTTGCATATGGAACAAGACATTCAAGTTTGTTTAAAGGGGCCCTATTATGCAGATTTTCAGGTTCATATTTGTATTTTGTTCACATGCTTTGATGTTCAAAAAGGTATTTACTTCTCTCATACTGCAGCATCTATTTTCACCATCTGTCTAAAACCAAAACCCAGTCTGCTCTGATTGGTTAGCCGGCCGGCTGTGTTGTGATTGCACAACCACTTGTACTGACATTAAATTAGTGAGTTTAGCCTTTGGAGTCCAAAGTACATGCAAACAAATCTATACATCACACTACAGGAAAGGGAAACTCCCCAAAACACAAACACACTCTTTAGGGCTAGAATCCATTACCAGATACTGAGACATCTTCTGTGACATTCAGTGTATTCAAGAGGTGCAACTTCCTGTACAAACTTTCCTTTATTGTGTTTGGTCTACTTTTACTAATGATTCCCAACATTTACCTTTATGACTTCCTTAATATAGCTCTTCAACCAAGCAGTTTGTGAACATAAGTGCTGTACTTTTGGTAGTACCATCTGCCAACAACACACAGCACCCCATGAGTTGCGTTACAGCCTTGGAAGCTAATGTCAAAGCCGGTATTCTTATCTCCGTTTTATGGCCTCACCTGGTACTCAAAGGAAGGGGTGAGGCGATAGTTGATCATTTCTTGGTGGAACACCGGTGTGATACTTCCTGACATGGGAGGCACAATCCACACCCAGTCTCCGGGGCAGCCACCTCGCACCCGGTACTCATTCTCCATGTGCTTCATGAAGGACTCTGTGGCTGAGTGATGGTCCACTATGGTGACTTTGCACAGCTGAAAATAAAGGATACACACAATGAGCTCATTTAAGTATCTCTGCATGTTCTCTGATGCTTTCTATAACTACTATAGATCAAATACAGTATCTCGTAACCCATTGGCTATTGGTCTGGCGACAATATCCTCTCAGGGTGAGGGGTAATCTTTTTGGGGTTCCATGTAGCTAGCAGATATCAGGGCAAAGACTTCCTTCAGTGCACTGCTCATTGTTTTCAGTTCGATTAGCAATAGTTCAAATATGTGAGGCATGGAGTTTAAGTGGAAAAACAACATGAAACGACCAATTTGTTTCACAAGGGGCGCTTTAACAAATAATATTTTGTAAAGCCCGCGTCACACTGTCCCGAAATTGACACACGAATATGGAATTGTGAATTTCGTACAAAGATGGCCCCGAACTTGGTCAACGTCCAAGCAACAGCCGAAGCAACAGCTGAAGCAAGTACGATGCCTACAGAAGGCCACATGATGGCGCCCGAACCACACACGAAGGCAACATTTACATTACATTTAAGACATACAACGAAAGTAACAAAAACAAATTATGTTAAAGTACTATGGGACTTTACATTTTGGAAACTTGAGATTGTATATAATAAAAATTGTCACTGATATTTTCAGACTTTGTTCTTTACTTTCTCCGTCTTTATATGTAAAAGATATTAAGTTTTCTCCGTCATGTTGCTTCCATAGCAACAACAACTTCCTGTCAACAGCGTAAACTCGCCTTCAAAATAAAAGCATCTAAATAAAACCGGAAGTTAACCTAAATTACATTTAAGACATACAACTGCAACGAAAGTAACAAAAACAATGTAATATCCTCTTCAGTTTCACAGAACACAAATTGTGTTATTTACATAATATGTTTGACATGATTTTGTTGTGCAATAAAACAACCAGAGAAGCGGGCACGCGGGAAGTCAGTCAGAGTTGGGGGTGCGGGGTGCAGTTGGGGGGGGGGGTGCTAGTGGAGCCTCGCAGCGGCAAATCTGTGGCGCGCTACACTGTAGGTGCGCCGCAATTGCGCTTTAGAGCAGGTTCCCTCTGCAAAATGAGGCCCCATCCGCGAGGGGTCTGCGTGATCTGCGTGTAGGGAGGGGCGGCCCTGTATAATAACGTCATATTAAATGCAGTCATTTGGTCTTTAGCAACAGCTTGTGAGAGCAGTGCATTCATCGGTGCCAGTTTGTTGACGGGACTTCTCATGCTCCCTAAATGTTTCCCCTGCCTTTCGCCAGTTGTTAAACCCTCCTTTCACAAAACTCCCATCCCTGATCTTGTCTGCACTGACGAGCTTCTTTCAATAGCAGAGCAACAGAAGAAGCTCTTATATAGTCCCATCTCGATGTCATCGTATTATAATACGATGGCTACACAACGGCATTGCGAGGGCTTCACGTAGTCGTGTTGCCTTCCTAAGACAATCAGGCAGCTTCTTGTTTCCTTCGTATTGTCTTCGTGAGGTGAAAAATGCCCGATGGCACCGATGATCCGATTTGACAAGATGCCCTCACGCTGGCCTTACGAAGGGCAAAATGGAACCACGAATTCAACACGAAAATGAACCTTCGCAAGGTCCTTCTGCCACCGCTCACGAAGTTGCTGCCGGAGCCTGAGAAACTCTTCCGGCGGTCATACGATGGCTTAGATGCCCTCACGAATGGCCCGATGTTGTTACGATCAGAGCCGAATGTGAACATTTCCTTTATCGTGTGTCCATCTGGTGTCAATTCCGGGACAATGTGACAGGGGCTTTAGGGAATTATTTAACTAGTCTTTCATTATCATGGCCTTAAGGCTGAAACCTCCTTTTGTATGATAAAGCAGACAATTCTCAGCCATTGGGGCCTCAACAGTAGCTGGTAAAGAGAAGACCTGTCTTTAAACCCTGAATGTGTCTAAAGCAAAGACATAAACACAACGTTTCTGCTGAGGATCAGAGAGTACGTTTAATCAGACCAGTGCTTTCTGGAGCCAGCTTCTTTGTGAAAGACATTTCTGGCTGTTGATAGAGCGTTAGTTGTCCTTTTTGGGTGTGTTAAGTAGGCGCTGTGAGAGGACTTGAATCACATAATTGGTTGGGGCAGGAGCTTCACTAGAATCGCCCAACAAACCTCCAGTGTCAGTTCTCTAGCTTCATCATCATATTCCAGTTCATCGCTCCATCTAAGAGTTACCATCCAATTAAAGCAAATTCATTGTCATTTGATGGCTGAACGGTTAAGAGGTTGCATTTCAGGCAAATCCTCTTTAATTCTCTACAGGGAATGTAAACCTGCATTCGACCAAAGCCTGCTCTGCATTCATATTCAGAATCTGTTTACAAAGATGATTGACAATTTCACAAACACATGTGTTCCATTTCCTCAGTTACATTAAAGGCAAATCTTTTATGCCTGCTGACATTGGATGCACCTCATGTTATAAATAAAGATTGCATTACGCTGTGTAAAGAGCACATATTTTTTATATAGTATGTCCATTTTATTTATATGTATAGTAAGTCTTTATATTTTAAACGCATACTTTATCTTTAATTTTATCAGCACCACGTCACTATTATTTATTTATATGTACAATTTTAGCAAGTTTTTATATTGTCCTGTTCCTGTAAGCCAGTACAACGAAATTTCGTTTTAATAGTACACTCTGTGTCTTGTTGAAATGACAATAAAGTATGTCTATGTCTATGTTAGACTCAAATTAAAAAGTGACAGCTCTAGAGACAAACATGTTAAGAAAATTCTCACAAAGAATAAGAGTGTTCAGAACATGCAAACTTTTCAGAGCCAGCCCATAGCGGGTGTAGAGGAAACTTCTGTGTAGCTATGCAGTGGGAGTCACCGACTCAGGAAGGAGACACTGTAGGAGCAGTAGCTTTGATGTCAAACACATGATGGTTTATTTGGAGTTAACGGCCGGAGGATTCACATCCCAAGTCCAAGAGTCAGAGGTTCTGACTTCACGGTAGAGTTGCCACGTCAATTCTGAAGAACTCTACCCCAGACCCATGTATTTAGCTAGTTCAGAGAGCATCATCAACATGCTGCATAACAAGATAGAATGATAACACCTCTATCAGCTGACGCCAACAGGCAGGAACAGGGAGACAAAACACTGAGAGCACAGCAGCCAAGGTTACAGGTGCCTGTGCTCAGTCAGGACAGTTTAAACTGATACACTGGGTCAAAGTTATGGGCCTTGGAAAATATTCCACAACAGCGGGGTTGTGGCAACATATTCAAAACATTGTTTATTATAAAGTAAAGTGTACCTGGAAGCTGTAGAGAACAGCGATGTTGATTTCCACACATGCCTGGTCTTTCCAAAGGGAGGAAGTCTTCCTGGTGTCTAAGGCCATCTTGTCAGCAACTTCCTACATGATATAAAAATAAATGTGACAGTTGCAAATATGAAAAGTATCTGTCCAAATTAAATCAAGTGTGACATTGAAGTACTTTTCACGCCTCCAACAGGTGTTTGCTTATAGTAATAGATCATTTTTGAGAGTGCAAAAAAGTATTTCTCTTTTAACTTGACTCAAAAGGAAACATGCACATTTAGGTAATTGCCCTAATTATGTCACATATATAAAATATTTAACTTTGAAGCGTTTACTATTCACTTCCATTAGCTTCTCTAAATACATGACTTACAGTATATGACTGCATAAATATATCAACAGTTAACTATGTACACATGTTGTAACAATATTCAAATTAACAATGTATAATTGATGTTATGAGTGTCTGTGCCAATACAAAAGGAGGCTTTACAGTAAGTGCTGTTCAGCAGTTTTTTCGTCAGAGTGCACAATTAGCAGAGGAATGGCATCCTGAGTTGACTATTTGGTGACACAACACATGCTCCCCTCTACACAAGGTGTCAGTCAATCTGTGGTTCCTATGGAGCATGACTCCATATTCTGGCACGACACATTACCTCCAGAATGTTGTAGCGCGAGCTGTCACAGAAGTCTCTCACGCCGATCTCTGTGCCCATGTACCAGCCACTGAAGGGGCAGCCAGTGAACTCCAGACCCCCGATTTCAAGCAGCATGTTGGAGACCGCCGGGAGGGAGTACCACTTCAGCTCCAGGTCCTTGAACCAGTCGTACCTGGGCAGAGCAAACAGGGGATTGCCAGGTGGGAACTGTAGGTAAACATCCAATTTGCGATATCAAGCTTATTAACCACAACAATTTGCATTGGTCTGTTTGAGCACACAAATGTATTCCTGAGACACAAATAATTTAAAAAAACAGAGCAGCCAAAACCAACATTAACAAAAAGAAACCGTTTTTGAGAGCTTTTCAGTGCTGGACAGAGCAGGCAGGGTGTAAATCAACCTCCCACTGCTCGCTCCTTGCACCCTCTAGGGGGATTGATAACATTGCTTTCAGTGTATTATTTGAAGAGTCGGGTCTAATCTCATGTAATGATGAGGCGCCGTTGGCGGTCGACTCCTGTGCCAAGCTGCTGCCAGAGCTGAGGGCCAGTTGAAGCGAGGAATGGAGCAAGAGATGCCAATTTTGGGGAGAGTAGTCTGGCGGGAGATCAGTGTGGGTTTTAAAGTGCTCTGTGTAGCGTGCAGAGATGTAGTGATGGCTCAGTGTGCATCTGTATTTATGATATCTAGTGTAGCTGCAGTTTTTAATGTGATTATCAGTATAAGATTGACATCTTAAGCATTATGCTGCTCTAACACATTGTGGTTTCATACAGGCTCAGTTTTCTTAAAATAAAGTAAACACATACAAAAAAGGCAAAGCTTGAAACCTCACTTTCAAGTCCCATGGTTACCACAAAAGCTGGCATCGCAACAGATCAAGTATGGCTTGCTGTGCTTTCTGGGAGCATTCAGCACAGTTTGAATGTCACAATAACCCCATCAGACTTATTGTTGTAAAAGTAACCCATTGTATAAGAAGTGTTGTTAAGAGATGTGTGAGTGGGTGGATGTCTTTTATATGTAACACCCTCTGTTTTTATTTTTGTTAGATTTATCCATGCTTCAGAGGGAAAGCAGAACTCACTTAGGGTGTGTGAATGGCACCTCCAGGATGAGGTCTTCGGGAATTTCGAACAGCTCGGGATCATTTCCATTGGCTTGCAGCAGGAGGGGCAGGACATCAAAACGACCCTTTGGACCTTTCCATCCCAGCTGCGTGCAGATCTGGGGACGAATAGCAACAAAGCAGAGTGCAAATAGGACATTTGTTTCAAAGTGACATTGCCATTTACCACATTGACTTCAGCTCCACTTGTGTACCTCAGTAAATTCGACATTAGCAGGGTCCCCTTGGATCTTTCCATCAGGCATTTTGTATCCAGCGTAGCGAATCAGCTGACAGTTCCACACTCGATAGTCATGTTTTCCATCTATCCTCTGAGGGAATATGGTGATAGCCGACCTGCAAAAAACAAAAACACATTTAGAAAAATATAACTTGGTTTCAAAGAATAATCTAAATTCGGTGGCATATCTGTACCTACATTATAATGTATACGGTGTGAGGGAAACATTAAATGGAGTATATGTTTATGTGTATTAATCAACTAGATTGAAACAGATGGTTGGCATCGCACATGTCATCCTCATAAAATATATTTTCAATTATGCTTTGTCACAGCTTAGCTACCGGCTCCTAGTACTAGACTCCTGGTACTAGGATGGGTTAAAAGCAGAGAACACATTTCACTGTGAGTGCTGTGTGCTCTGCATGTGTGACCATTAAAGAGGGTTTCTTCCCTCCCAATATTATTATTATTATTTAGTCTGCTCTACATCCCAGTGGTGTTTTTAATGCCATGACCGGGTGAAAGTGTTAACACTACTAAGCTGGTGCTAAGTCTCTGAGGAGGGGGAGCAGCTGCTGAGAATCTGGGCCAGTTGTGCTAGCAAACAACATCTGCAGTAAAGCTTGGAACCTGGTGTGAACAGCAAAACCAACAGTCTGTGCCTTCAGACTTTAATGTGCCAACAACACATTTCATTACAATCTGTCCTCTTGCTGCCAATATCTAATGAAGTACATTGTTGACATTCACGAGTTCTAAAGGCTGTGTGTTGCTGCTGCTGAAGGGACATCCTGACAGGCCGGAGCAAAAGATACACACCCAAAAGCAGAACTCTTAAATACAGGAAGTGCTCAATCGGAATGTATCAATTACCTGCAGGGGTAAGGTTGCGAATTCATGTCAAGAGATTTTGTTTAATACTTTGTTTAGATTGTACATTTAAACTTTTTATATGGTTAATTGATTGAATATTAATATCGATAATGCCATTTTTTTTGTACTTGGGTATTCAATTGTTTTTCAGAAGTATACAGTAGGTCCTTACATTAAGTTATGTTTACTACCGTGGACTACTGTCATTGTTTCCATAAATGTTTGTACATTTTGTAAATTGTTTACTTCCTTTTTATGTAAATAAACCTGCCTTTTACACTCCTCATGCCTGCTGGCTCTGTCTGCAGGTATGAGGCTTAAAATAAAAGATAAGCCCCTTGACTCTACTTTATTGCTTAAAAAAAACATTTCAAACTGCATTAGTATAAAATAGAAAGGATAAACGTCACCAAATGGAATTGTCCACAACCTTGCAACCCAACAATGGCAACACACTGATGACTTATGGATCACTTTAACTGTAAAGGTTTAGTAAATAATCGATGAATTTGTTACAACTAAAAAAAAACTTCATAAAAAGGTGCCTGAAGAAGTGTGCAGTGAAATTCAACAACATGTTGTAATGTATTGAAAACACAACATCATGTTTTTCCAATAAATCCTAAACCTAAAAACCACTGACTCATAGTCTTTTCTTTGCAGCATTTATCAACCTTCCTGACATTTTTATTTATATTTTGTCATGTTGACAGGTGTTTGAGGATGAGCAGAATGATTTCAAAACTATTGCAACACGTTGCATGTGTTTATTTATGTGTCTATATTTATCTATGTCGAAGCGAGCCAGACGGAGAGAGGATGTTGTGCTGGCTCCTATCAACATGTGTATCTGAGCTCTCCTCCAGAAGGCCAGGCTAAGTGTAGTAAGGATTCAGAAGCTATCCATCATTCAAGAAGTAAATATGAGGTGTCACATGTGATTAGCACTTGGCAGAAAGTGAGCGAGCAGGTCTGACTGCTTGTTAGCAAGGCCCGCCGCCTCACCAAGAGGGCATTGATTGGTGCAGAGACACTGACAGGCAGCAGGTAGTGTCAGATAAAGCATTAAGAGACAGAGCACAGGCTGACAGATGGGACAGAGGGTTATGTTAGGGCAGAAAGAGATGGAGAGAGAGGGGGGATGAGATATATGAAGCAACAGATGGGGAGAGAAACACATGTAGTCTGAGGAACAGGAGCAGAGTAGAATAAAAGGAAACAAGACGTAGGTAAATAGCTGAGCAATGTGTGTGTGTTTTTGTTTACCTCAGATTGCCTTTGTTGGTGGCGTACTTGATGTGGTTACAGATGTAGTTGTACATTCCATGAGCTGTTGTGCAGTCTCTAGCATCAAACAGCTGGAAAGCAAAACAAAAGAAGAATAGATGTTTTCAATGTTAGAATAAAACAGTAGTACAGTCTGATATTTTATGCAAGATGATATATGACTGCAAAGCTATGTTTCGGAGTATCTTGGAAGTTATATGAAACAACAAATGCATCTTGTTGACTTTCCATATTACTTGTTAAAAAAAAGCAGTGTAACTCTAAATGCTATTTGTGCATGCTGTATAGTACCTGCAGTTTGGACCACTGGATCCTCCCTACACATCGAGCAGCATTCCTCCAGGCGTGCTTGGCTCCATAAATCAGTTCAGTGTCTTTCAGCTGGTAAGTGTCCGAAATTTCAATCTCCTTGGTTACTTCCTCCAGCCTGTCCACATGAGCCTTAGAGCCGAACCTGTAGGCAGAACGGGTACGGAGGCACAACAGAATAGAAGAGAACATTTGAACTTCTAATTGAGTTGAATTATTTCAATTAACTGAGTTTTTACTTTTGTAAAATATCCCAGTACTTGTTGCTTTCTGTTGTTATGTAAGCTAGGAAAATTAAGCTACCATGTTGAACCAGGCTCATTAGCTAACACTAACGAGTAGCTATCAGCCATGTTAGCATTTACTACACAGACATTAGTGGATAAAAGAAAGAAGTTAACCTTATAAGATAAAAAACAATACAAATAGTTCTTTATGTCTTCTTTAACCTTTATATTTTATTATTTGCCTCTACCCAAACATGCAGGAGTGAGTTCTGAAACCCAGAAGTGTCATCATTGTTGCGCAGAAGTCCCTTTAACACAAGTCAATGGGTCGTTTGAATGAGGTTTTGAAAAGATTCCTAAAATAACTTCAGCGGCTAACAAGCTTTAGAGATTTTACTTTTTTGTGATATTCTGACATAAAAATATGTCAGTAATTACCCTACCCTTTAATGTTTAGTCTATCCAACCCACTCACTCTAAATTGCATTTAAAAAAATCCTATTGGCTTTTTGTGAAGGGAACCGGTGTCACGCCTACTTTCTGGTTGGCCTAACACAAATGCATTTTCTGCAGCACTCTATTGAGTCACAACTATCAGCTGTTACAGGCCGTGCTTACCTTTTGATAGAGGTGTAGTACTGGTCTATGAAGTCAGTGGCCAGTGGAAGAAGCTCCTCTTTGGTTCTGAACTCGTCTGGTTTGCGGACAGGGGGCATCATCACGGAGCCCATGCACACATTTTCATTACAGAGTGGCATCTGATGAGACAATATTATGACAAATGAGGTAGGATTTCGGGGGTTAAATCTGCTTGTTTGTTTTTCGTTAGTGCCAAAAATCCATCTGAAGAGCCAGGAGATCATTGCATATATGGTACAGCTCTCTGATATTATATCAGCAAATATCCTCAACATTTACTTTCAACTAAAGGAAAAGACTAACAGAAGACACAATGCTGCCTCCCAGTTCACAACATAGAGGTGTTCCTTTCTTTTAATTGGACGAAGAATTCTTCAACATATTTCAGAGGTCTTCGTGATTACTGTTCACTGACTAGAGCCAGTTTCTGTACTCATCTCTGTGTTGTGACTAGATGCAAAATGAAAGATGCATGGCATCCTATTCATTTACAAAAGGCAGAGCTATCATATTACCTTCCCCCTATATTCATTTTAGATTAACCCGCTAGGTCTTGGTTCTGCTTGATATGAAACAGACCCAGGGCATGCTTGAATTACACAAGTATTTTCCTATTGTATTCACTTTTTCCTTTTCTTACTGTGTGTGAGCCATAATCCCCTCACTTCTTTATCCCTCTGATAGAAGGCTCTCAGGGTGCCTATGAGTAAACCTCTCTTTTAAATGCGTTTTCAAGGATAAATAAAGTATCAATAAGAAATAACAGAACAAATACATATTTTAATAGGTAAAGGCCTACAGGCAGGATCACATCCAACTGCACTGACAAGTGTTCATCTTGATATTTAGTCCCACAGGGTTCAGACGCAAGGTCATGTTTTATTATAAGCTCCGGACTCTGAATGCAAACAAGGGATCATAACTATTTTACAAATTCTTTCATGATATTGTTCACACATGGCTGGCACGCATGTTAATGAATGAGTAAGTCGGTGAGTCATTGATTGGTATCCTTCTTTTAAGTAGGGCAGGAAGACTGAAAGAGCGAGCATAAAAAAGAGAAAACAAGTAAACAGAGAGATGCAGGGAGAAAATTACTCATAGCTGAGAGCAACCTTGTGTGGTCAGTTTAATATGATTAGAGATGAAGTCAGCTGTCACTTTGGTTTGCCTAAATGCCTTCACCAGCTTAGAGAGAGATGGAATGAGGGAGCCAGAGCGGACGACAGGACGGATAGCGCAGGCGTGCAGCCGAAGAGGAAATTTGACACTGACCCCATCGCTACTAAAATTGGCTTGTTACGCTGAACCACACACTTGCACTGTCCAAACACTCAGACGTGGACTGGCAGTCCGTCCAAAATAAACTTCCCTCTGTGTGCCTTCCAACAAATCCAACCCTCGCTCGACAAAAACAGAGAAGAGAAACAAATATGTTGAGCAACACAACAAACAGACCATCACAGCCAGTCAACAAAAATTAAAATGTAAACTGAGTTCAAATGCGTGAAAGATTCAGTAATAACAAAGATAAAAATAAAGGGATCATTTGAAAGAAAAGGGAAGCTGAGGAAAGAGTGTTGTCAACAAGAGAGAAGGAAAGATATAAACAGAAAGAGGTGACCGAGTAAAAAGGGGTAGTGGATGAGTAAAGCAGGGAGTGTTAAAAATAAAACAAAGGAATCACTCGTGCTCCAGCACGTCCGCTCATTATACCGCTCTGGGCATTCATGCCAGCCAGCTGTCCTTTTCGAAAAAGACGGATCATCCTCGAATACAGCAGCGTCTGTGATATATAATAAATCTGAAGATGCCATTAGAGGCCATTCATTGGGGATGCACAGTCTGTGTTCGATAAGTCACCAAAGTAATTAGGCTGCTGTTTGCTGTTCACAAATGGCTGCTGTGATTTGGGGGGTGAATGCTCAAACAGCGGGGTTCACCTTGTGCTTGTTAGACTGGCTTATTAACTAGAGGGAGAAGCTTTGGCTGCATGATACAAACCGATGATGAAAAGGGATAAAACGTCATTCAAACTTTTTGTTTTCTAGGTTTTGGGAAATAACCATTTCAGGTGTCCGAAAGTCAACATGCATGGGTCACGAAAAACCGAAGCATGAGTTGTTCACTCACAAAGGCACATTGTTTCTAAAGTAAGGGATAGAGTAAGCACGGTTTTAGACGTTTTTAGATTACCAACATATTACAATTAACTTTCATGAGCTGAAAACACTGTAAAATTCAAAGTCAAAGTCAAAGAGCACCAAAACTGGACCATTGCAGTAACCTTTTGTTAACAAGGTAGCCCCGCCCTAAAGCAAATACCATCATTTGCAAAATGAACATCATGCCATATTAAAGAATCTTGAAAGCAGTGATTGAAACCATAAACTTGTCAGGAAATGTTTGTAATTTCTCATAGACTAAATGTGTATTATTGTAACCATGATGATGAAGGTACCCCAACATTAGCCAAGTAATAACCCATATCATTATCTTTTCCTAACCCTAACTGTGCCTTAACCTTTGCGATGTTAGATTAGAAAATAGTCTTGATTTTTAATAGCCAATGTTGTCTTATTGAGAGTTGTCTTTTCTCAGGAAATGTTGTGTGTCCATTTGGAAGGCACGGCCTGCTTTGTCCTTTAATTAAATGGAATTCTCACTTGATTTCTTATTTCAGCAAACATTTTCCTAATGTATTCATGTTCATAAGGTTCATCTCTGGCATAGAAATCCTGGATATTATATGACGACTTGAATCACAACATCTTTCTCATCCTTGCCGGTATGGTTGCCACAGCAACAAATGTAAATATGTAAATGTTGAAGCAGACGGCTTAATCTAACCCTTAATTGAGCTGATTTCCATATGGCTTACCTTGCTGGAGCTGTGGTGGAGTGTGTCATTGTAGAGGGTGCCAGTTTCCCAGTTCTTGACCTTAATGAAGCGGGGGCATTTGGAGGGGCTTCCATTCTGAAGTGACTTAGTGGGTGAGGTCCTTCCCTGAGCCGGGGGCTGGAAAGAGCACACAGAAAATGACACACGAGTCATAACTTCATGCCTTTGAATTATATATGGCTAATGGGTTCTGACCTCTGAGATACCTTTGCTCCAAGCTGGATACATTGTTTATGAGTCATACTGTGCTAAGAGACAGTCATTCATTGTCCTCAAACTACCTCAAATGGACATTGATTGGCAGGTTTAAGATGGGAATAACACAAACAATATATGGAAGAACTTTTGCAACCATTTGGAGGCTTTCTTGGTGGACCACAGACCATTTCTTCTCAGGGAATCATCAGTTTGTCATTGTGTTCAAGCCTCACCAACACAGAAACTCTTCACATTGCCTCCCCTATCCATTTCTGGTTTAGTTCCCACTCAAGGATAAAGGCAATCAACATTTAACAGCAGGTTGATGGCAAGCTTACTTTGGCTCACTTGGTTTTCCAATATGGTGGCTGTATTGACTAAAATGAATGCCTGCAATTTAACCCTGAAGCAAACTGTACACGTTCCAAGAGAAAGGCACAGAGAGATGTCCAATTATCAGAGCAATCAATCCCACACCTTGGAAGCCCTTTCATCATCTCCATTGTTAATGACACAGTGGAGCATCTCCTGAACAACTGTGCCACAATCATCACACTCGTATGGGACCTGAATACCGACAGAGTCACGCCAGTTGAGTCACATTGTTATTTTGCATCCTCTCAAACATTGGAGAGGAATGAGATGAATTGGATTTTGCACATACTGATAGTAAAGCGCTTAGTTCCTGTGTGTTCATGCGCCAACAGCAATAACCCGACGGTGCGGCTCAGATATGCCACATTATCTCTGAGGTTGTGGACAGGAAGGAAGACCATCGGAGCGTAAAAATCTCTCAGTCAAACAGGCAAAGAAAAATCAGAGAATTAAAGCTTTTTGACAGGAAAAGCAGAGCAGTTATGTGTATGAACATTTATAAATGCTTGTTGCGCACTGACCGGAAGCTATAGCTCTGGCATTTACGTTTAACAAAGGCTGTTTATATGAACAACCTGTAAATGTCAGTTTACTTTTCCATCAATTATACACACGTTCTGATGTCATTTTAAAATGTCAGAGTTAAAGTAGCATCTTTTCTCGCCCCTGAAAACATTTACATGAGCGGAAAGTCAGCTATTGAGTGACCATTAACTACATGTTTGGAAAGGACTGACATCAGCCAGGATAGATAGGTAGGTAATTGTGTGTCAAATAGATTGCTCAATTGAGATCCCTCCCGCTAAAAGAGATTGTCCAATCATAGCTTGGCAAATGCATCTAGTACAGGGGTGTCAAACTCAATTTCATCACGGGCCACATCAGCATTATGGTTGCACTCAAGGGCCGGTTGTAACTTTAAGACTATATAAAAAAGACATATATAAATATTAATGCTGTCAAAATTATCGCGTTAACGGCGGTAATTATTTTTTTTAATTAATTGCGTTAAAATATTAACGCATTTAACGCATGCGCAGAATGGCCCGCCCCATACGTCCCACCAGTGGCAGCGCCAGGGTATGGCTGGGGTAGGCTCCAGCCATACCAATAAATGGCTTAGCCCCACCATGAAAAATGATGTTAAAGTAAGCAGAATAAAGTCCGCCAACTCGCGGAGTAAATTGCACAGACAGTAGTTAGTAAGAATGATTTCAGTAGCCACTTGTCTGGAAATACCGAAGACTAGAAACGGTTTTGAAAACTTTTGTCACGTAGTGATCGTCTTCTCAATAGAACATCTTTGATAATGTCTTCTGGCCAATCAGAATCAAGATAACGGGGTGGTGTTACCACAGAAAGTCCCGACGGAAAATACTTTTGCTGTAGTACATCTATGAGGTGTGATTTGTGCCAAAGAACGAACTCACTGAGCAGACAGTCGTGTCGATCGTCGCCTACCATGCCGTGACTATGCCGTGAGAGAAGTAACGTGACACTCTCGTCGCCACCCCTCTCGTCTGAGAAGCTACGTGACGTCTGCGTCTGAAGTTACTTTAGTAGTTATCACCAAATAACCCAGTAATGTTACAGCTACTTAGTTGCTGTTCAAGCTAGACTCTATTTCAATGTAGTTTTGGTATTCAAATAATGTTACACCCCTTGTAGGCTATGCCCTGAAGGCCAAAACAACCACAGACAAGAATATATTTGTAATAATCAAAATGATAACAAAAGCTGAAAAAACAGGAGAAGCCTGTCTTCCCTTGTTCTCCAGGAGAAAACACCATCACCAAGTTTTCTATAGTTTTGTGTGTGAAATAGATCGCTGCAGTGAACACGACTTTATGTATTTGTTTATGGTTTATTTGATATGGAGGGATGCAGTATACATAGAAGTTCAGAGAAGAAGCAACCCCTATGTTGTTTATTTTATTTCGTTTCATTTTGGCCCCATGGCAGAGGCAAATATGGAGTTAATGTGCGGAGATTATAATGTCCCGTTTACTATATGAATTGTTTTATGATGTTTAGTTGACAAAATAGTCACTGAGGTACATTTTGCTGCACTCAAGCATACATCTGAAGACAAGAGTTGTGTCCCCCTTTGGCCACAAGGGGGAGTATACATATTGTATATATATATATATATATATATATATATATATATATATATATATATATATATATATAGATGTTGCAACTATACAGAGCCTCTCAACATTTACATGGATTTAGGCCCTAAAGATAAAAAACTCCCCTCTCTGGCAGAAACAGGAAATGCTGTAACTTTTCGTAACAACAGTTTCAAATCAGCATATCTTGGATTAAAAATAACCCCAAAAATCTTTAATGGTGTTTCCTTTTTGTTAAACACTTTTTGTTTTAAAATCTGATTTTTATAAGCTGCTTGGTTTTTGCAACAGTCCCTGTAAATATACACAACCTTTTGAACTTTGGACCGATTTTATCGACCTTCTTTGGGGGCCCCCTTCTGGTCCGGGGCCCCAAGCTGTTGCCTGCCAGGAAACGGCGCCCCTGCTGATGCTCTTCTGGGTAATCATATATCCTATCATGTACACAATTACAGTTGGGCTTCTCCTTCCCCTACTGTAAATCAGGGGTGTCCAACTCAATTTCATCACGGTCCACATTACATTACATGTCATTTGTTAGACACTTTTATCCAAAGCGTACTGTACTGTGGATAGTCCCCACAGGAGCAATTTGGGGTGAAGTGTCTTGCCCAGGGACACAACGACATGCTGACTGCAGTGGGACTTGAACTTGCTATCCCCTGATTTGAAGTCCAGCACACTATCCACTGAGCCACAGCCTCCCATATCAGCAATATGGTTTCACTCAAAGGGTCGGTTGTAACTTTAAGACTATATAAAAAGACATATATAAATATATATAAAATACTGCATTATATTACATTATTGCCTCTGCATTGGATTATTATCGGATAGGGTAATAACTTCTTAATTAACTACTTCGTCTGAAAGCAGAAGTCTGGGGCAAATAATTGCAAGTCTCTTCAGTAAGAATGTCACAATATGATTTCACATTCTGGAAAAACTAAAAAATAAGTGACGTTTTGAAAAAGAGAAATGACATTTAAAAAAAAAAAGATCTATGAGAAAAAGTCAAATTCTGAGAAAAAATGCATACTGTACGTTGAAGAAAAAAAGTCAAATTCTGAGAAAAAGTCGAATTTGAGATGCATTGTGGCACATGTCGTTTATGGGCAACGTGCTTCTGTAAAGTAGCATGTAACCATATAATAAACATATTATATTCTTTGCAAGCTCTTGTGGGGCCACATAAAATGAAGTCGCGGGCCGGATTTGGCCCCCGGGCCTTGAGTTTGACACCCCTGATCCAGTAGGTTCAGCTGATTTGTTAAATGGCAAAATTACTCTCTTTTTCACTTATTCAAAACTCCCTAAATAATAGATGTGCAATGGTTTAGTCATTAAACGCTAATCATGTCTGCTGAAGTGTTGCTGAACAGAATTTTTGCATTGTGGGATTCTTTAAAGTCATTATTTTACTTATTACAATGTGGAATTTGTAAGCACTTTATAGTGGGTTGATTTACTCACAATTTGGACAATCAGATGGCAGATGGTAAATACTGTGCACTCTATAGTAAATAGGGATTGATCCCTGACACAGCCAAGCTTTGGATTTCTCCACATGCTAAAGTGGCCTTTCAAGGTTCTTTTTTAAGACTGGTGTCTTTTGTTAGCCTTTCCAAAATCAAAAGCATAATTTAGTGACGTCAAGTTAGGATTGTATAGAGAAATCCTTTGTGTGTAGACAATCCTTACGCTCTTTATTTTGTATTGAGAACATTTAAGTAATCTACAGGTGTCTTAAAGTTATACCTGTAAGCTATGGGAATATAATATATTAAAAACAAAACTCGTAAAAAGGCAGAGACTGAGAGAATATTACAGAGTTACAAATCCATCTGCTGCTTCAGCATCACGGACAGTGAAGTATCAGTACACATTCATGATACCAAGATTTAAGAGCCAAGGTCAGGCAATAGATTCTATCTTGCACAATCCTTAGTCAAATAAAGCATACGTGAGTATGGTTCACTAAAGTAACTATGGTATGAGAGATAACATCAATACCCCAAGGCAGCATGCCTGGGCCATGGCCAGAGAGACCAAGTAAAGAATGAACTGGGTCAAAGGCAGGTATCTAAGCAAAAATATTCCTTAACACTGGATCCTGACATTAAGAGTTACCTGTGCCTAGTTCCTGTTGTTCAATGTAAAACGAGAAGTTTAAACAAAAAAGTAAAGTTAGCTGAAAACATTTTTAAACCCACTCACGTTAACTTACCTAGCTAGCTGGATAGCTACAGCTGACTCAAAAGCAGGCAGCAACAGTTTTCATTGAAGTCTGAAATCAACAGTCTCCCACTACATGACAGCATGCTTTTATCTACTTCTGACTGAATTCAATAACCTAGAAACATACCTACTGAGAGTCAAGAGTCAAAATCTGCCACGATAATATTGTAAAGCTCTACAAATGTAGAGAAAAATATCTGACATTATAGTTTATCCTAATATAAAGAGATAATAAAATGATTTTAATCGATCTGTGTTCTAATGCACAAAGTCCAGTCTCTTTGTGAGACACACTTCCCTGATCTAGTCCATATTACTGGGAGAAGTTGCTGGACCACGCAAACTTTTGAAACCCCATCATATGTCATCAAGCCTCAATGTCAAAAATAAGGTGTGGATGTAACAGTCGGAAGCATCTATGAAGCTAGAAATTAAGATAATTGGAGATAATCTGATAAAGATAATTTCATAACGGGGCGTAATGACCAAAATCATTCTGGTAAATGCAGTTATAGAATAAAAGTTCCCTTAAACACCCATCAATTAAAATGTCTGATGGGAAATGGAGATGATGAGCGCACGGTAGGGGGTAAATGGGAAACGAGAAAAGAAGAAAGTGAGACTGACAGCCGGAGAAATGGAAAGACATGGTACGCGTTAAATATTTATATGGTTTAGTCTTGTGCATTTATGGTTTGACAATCGGGATTTAATTAGTGGTGATTAAGCCCTTGCGTGTATAGAAAGAGATCATATATTCTCTGTTTTTAATGGATAATCAAAAGCTAGCTGGTGGAATTTGACGGAACATTAACCACCTTTTTTAGACAACAGGCTTTTCAAACATTATATCAGGCAGCAGCAGAAGCAAAAACAAGAGCATATCCTTCTCCAAAGTGAGAAATATGTTTTTAACATAGCAATCCATGTACATCTGCCTTACATATCCTGACATTTCTTTTACTGTCTGACTTGAGTCTATCGAATTAAACACTTAGCGATGAGCCATCAAAGTCAGCATCAGTGTCTGGAGAAACGCCTGCAGGGGAGCTTCTTGCTGCATGAGTCAGTACACATGCATATACTGGACACTGATACACACACACACACTGCTTTCACTTCCCACACTATTCTAAAAGCATGCATGTCCTCAGTCCGAGCACACACTCCCAAGACAAATATCTAGCTATCACATCATACGTACATATCCTCTAGTGCCACTGCTGAGAATGCATCACCCAAACCAACCCCCCCCCCCCCCCCCCCTTCCTCTTTCCAGCACTCTCACACAATTATTCTCATAAGCATGCACATTAACACTCTCTTCTCTGCAGGTCTGAGGGGCTGGAACATTTCTACAGGAGTCACAATTGATAGAGAGTGACGGATCAGCAGCTGCATGTATTCATTAGTCCTCCTGGAATCATTTTGCCCCATCCGGTCCCATTGAGAGGGGATCGAGCGGCGTCATCAGTGGGTGGATAACGCCGACCATGTGCAGATTACGACACTATCCCTGTCACAGACTCTCAGACTTGTGACCAGACCCTTCTATGTGGAAGGCATAAGCTGGGTTTAATGCCGCACAAGCTTACCTCCCAGAAGGATCTAATGCCTAGGTGATGGGATCTTAAGCAAAGGCTTTACTACTATGAGCAAAGAAGCAACACAGATGTGCGGGCTCAGTTTCTGAAAGCATCGCAAGTGCCAATCGTGTGGATTAATGCAAATGGATACAAAAAAAAAACTCAGACATGGATGGATGGACAGCTGCAAAGATTTGCCAACTGTAGCCGGCCTGCTCATAAACACAGGGAGGCTTTGCAGGTTATTGATCCAAAAGATTAGAGCTACAGAAACGTGTGCTTACAAGTGATTTTTCTTACTCGGAAAATCATTTGAAGGCTTGAACATTTGTTTCATGTTTACCTTGTTAGTGTCAGCGTTGTGGAGCACCACCGGCATGTTTTCCAGCATTCTGTTGTTATCTGACGCCAGCTGGGGAGACGTGCCATTTCCCACGCCAAGGTCCCTGGGAGTCATAAACAATTTTCTGTCAGGTGTGTTTGCTCACATCTGGTGCAACATAGTTATTTCATTTCATGTCAAATAAAAAAAATGCCACACTTGGAATGGCATTGAAACAGTGAACAAGCCACCTTTCTTCTGTCTTTACAAATAAATGAACCAGGGACTTGTACACGCTCCAAAATGCTTTTTACTCAGGGATCTCTGCACACCCACATAGGTGTTTTCTCTCTTCAGGCCTCCATGGGTGTGTAGATGGAGATCGTTTGGCTTCTATCAGGCTCTCCAGTGTTTCTTGTTTACACTTGTTGCGGTGCTGCATTGGGACAATGTGATCCTTCATGGAGGTCAGCCTAAGTAATTTTTTGTCCACAGCTGTGCTCTAAATTCACTCAAAAAGAAGTGGGCATATGCTACAAAAGCTCCTAAGGAAAGACCCTTGTAAGATGGGGACGGAGACCTACAGTAAAAGTGAATTGCAAAAGGTGTGTTGTCATTGCATGTGTGATTTCAATAATGTTTTGTAATATTTGTTTAGGTACACTGTAGGTCAATGGAAAAGAAAATTCACTATAGCACTTTCACTACATGAACTGAGTTTACCCAGGAAGTTAAAACTTTACTAAGGTTTCTCGGCAGTAGCTAACTTTCTTTGCTTTGTTCTCTGCATTTAGACATGTGAGAACAGGTTAAGTCTGATATTCAATTCGTTTTGCCTGTAGGCCATTTCAAATGACCTGAGGCTACAGATAACATAAATACTATTTATCAGATTAAATAAGTTCCAAAACATTGAAAAATGTTTCAAGGATCTGAGATTGTCCAGGTCTTTCTTAATAAAAAGGCTCAGTCTTTTTTGATACTATTTCTTTGCAGTTTGACATCTATTTCCATACATTTAAAAAAACATCAATTTAGTTTCAGTGTGAATTAGAAAATAGATACGGCTGACGGCTTGCAAGTGAAGCTCTTTCTGGCTTAGTCCTATTTGGTAATTTAAACATGTCATAACCAAGTTACAATATAGATGTTTGACTTCCGTTTAACATTGGATACAGTTTACGACATGAACAGGGAGGTCTCTCACTGAGCTGTAACTATAAGAACGTAAGAGACTAAAGCAGAAGGGGGAGGGGAGGACACTGTGATGCCGCTGTGTTAACAACACGAGACATGAATAAACGAATAAACACAGTTTGCGTTCCTCCAATCAAAACCACCCAAACGCAGATCCAGTCTACTGTATTCAGTTTCCCACCCCCTAACTTTCTTATCATCACGTGTCCATGCTAATTGTAAATCCTTACAGGCTTCCCTTCTCCCCTTCACACTCCCTGTCACACTATATCTCTTTATCATAGCAATTTGCATGAGGATATTTATCCCCCTCCATTCAGAGGTGGAGTTCAGACATGCAGAAACATGCAGAGAAATTGCATATGTCACTAGTCATTAGATCTGACGAAGAGCGTCATCAGCCTCATGCTGAATTGTTAGATTGTTAAAAAAGAAAATGCAGAAAATCAGCAATAAAGTGCCATTCCTTTCCAAGCAAATCGATTACAATTATTTTAGGGTTTATTCTATATTTATGCCCTTTCAAAATAATGTATAATATATATAAAATACTAATGATTGTTCTCATACACATTTTTTCAAAGCCATAAGAGTAAATCAAATAAGGTAAGCTCTCTCCTAGTGCTGACCAAATGTCAACATGTTTTTAAATAAGATATACGCTTGAACCCTATTAAGAAAGCCATTTAACAAGACGTCACCGTTCCCCATGTTTGTACAATTCAATTAACCACTTAAAAGTGTATTGAAAGAGAGGAGGATATGCATGGGTTGGTCAATAATGACATATTGATTGAAGGAGACTGAAGCCTCAATTGGATTTCAATTGGTCGTAGGAGTACAATAGCAGATAACTGAGACGTCAATATCAACAGTACACTGTGCAGACCACTTAGAGTCGGGGGTAGAATATGGGCTCAGACTGTGAAGCCGTGTAAAACGCTGGTACAGAATGAACACTTAAGACAAGCTAAAAGCAATTTAAGTCTAACATTTGTCAGTCTTCCTTCAAAATATTTGAAAAGGAGACGTGCGGCATATACAGATTTTCACACTCCTCCACGAATTGCCTGATGAAACATTGCTGCAAATGACCTCACAAACCAAGAAGGACTGTTTAGAAACGATTCGCTCTCTTGGAAGATGATAATGAACAGTCTAATGACGAGTGTGAGTCGAGCTTTGTGTACGCCAACTGGGGTCTACTTTGTGACATTGAAACCGACACTAATGAAACAAATACTGTCTATCTTATTAACTGTAGCATCAAACTAAGGCCCCGTCCACACGGAGACGATATCAGTTGAATCCGCTAACGTTCTCTATCGTATAGACGGTTTGTCCACACGAGGCCGAAACGGAAACGCGGATTCGGAGCCCGAATCCGATGCCTTTTGATGACGGCTCCCAAACGCTTGCGGTGTACGTCCTATATGATAATTTCCTGAAAACGATGACGCCATAGCCCCGCCTTTCCCCACCTCTGCTGCTCACCCCCACGTCATTGCTGATGCGTTTCGCCAACAACAACAACAACAACAACAACAACAACAACAATGGCGGATCACAGGGTTGCGTTCGTGCTCCAGACGCTACTGACCATGATACAGATTTTAGTGCAAAATCTACAGCTCCTCTACAACAACCATCAGCAACAATAATAATATAAACTTCATCGGTCTTATTCGCTGCTTTTGGTGTATTTTGAAACTGCCATGGGCAAGCTACATTTTTGGTTTGAAGAAGTTCATATGAACTTATAAAAAGAGCCCCAGTAATGGAAGAATAGCAAACTAAGTAGACATGATGAATGTTGTGCGCCATGTATTCTTAATTGATGTTTGTTGGAGCTCAGCGTGTACAGTAATTACTTGGCACTGTACTCTGAGTCATATTAGAGCCTGTCTGTAGCTGCTAATACAATGCAGCTGGGTCAAGTAGTTTAGGGACGGCAGGGTGTCAAAGTGAGTGGGACTTCCTTTCAGAGGGCCAGGTGTACACTTAATAACCACCTTGTTGATGAGTTCTTGATCTAAATTGTGATTCTTATCCTCCCTAGCCTCTGACACCAACCTGCAATGTGAAAGGGACCAAGCACAAAGACACTCTTAAGGAATAATAAACACAGAAAATGACCATGTGTATATCAATTACTTACTAGGTGTTTCACGAAACTTTGTTTGTCTCACATGCCGCCAAGATGAAGGAAGAGTCAAACATTTGAGAAAAGTCTTGATGAACTGAAATAAATGGGAGACCTTTCTAAGACAGCCCAATGGATTTTGGACTAGCATGGGCAAGTAGTGTTTCATACAGTAATTAATTAATAAGTTAAGGAAGTTGCGTATGACTGGATAACTGAGACTGCATACATTTGTCTAAAGTTTACAAACGATCCCCATTTATTTTATTTAATACTTTTCTCAGTTTTTTGTTCACCGAAGAAGCCTGCAAGACATAGTGCTTGCAAGAATATAAGGTTAAACAGGGCAGCAGTTTATATTAGCATGTCATTTCATAGGTGAGGTATTCCTTTAACTGAGGGATCATTAAGTATCACATCACATATTACCTGGCCACTTGAATCTGGGCATCTCTTCTCCCCACGTTCCTCTGGCCTTCTCCATTGATCTCCCTTTTGCTGTTTTTGATGAGGCGCAGCACTGGTTCGATCTCCTTCAGGAGCTCATTGTTCTCCTCCATCCCGTTGCACAGGAGCGCCCCGCGGCTCAGCAGGGGGTCCTGGGGGATGGACTGGGTGATGGAGGGAGTGGACAGGTTCTCAATGGCCCTCAGCTGGGGGTCCTTGTTGACCTGCTGCTGCTGCCCAGGGCTGAAGGGGCTCAGAGGGGAGCAGTGCTCGTAGGACTTGGAGGGTGGGAAGGCGGGACGTGTGACCCTCACTGTGCGTTGGCGGCCATCTCCGGATAGGGTGGTCTCCAGGTGGGTGGTGAAGCCCTCAGGCCCGCGGAGGATCAGCACGGCGTGGCTCTCGACCATCACGTTCTTCAGCGTCTCCAGGGCCCGCTCGTAGGACAGCTCCACCAGGGGCTTGTTGTTGACCGCCAAAACGATGTCGCCCACCTGCACCAGGCCGCACTCCTCTGCCGCTCCCCCACGGATCAGGTCCGACACAATGACAGGCGGCTTGGACACCCTCTGCTTCACCAGGAAGCCCAGCCCACCGACCTTCCTCTTGAAAAGACGCACCGAGATGATGTTGGGCTGCAGCTGGCACACTGTGGGCTCTGACTCCTGCATGGTGCCCGTGTGTGTGTGTGATCGCCCGTGTGTGTTTGAGTCTGGGTATATATGTGTCCCCAGGGATTTGTCTGAAAAGCAACAGAAGGAGGAGAGGAAATATAAATTAGCTTTGCTGCATGATTTGTTTACAGTGTGTTGATAAGTCAAAGCGGGTATATGAATCACTCAAGGAGAGTGTAATATGATAGGGATCATTAAGTGCTATTGAGCTACTAATACACATGTGGTCATGCACATCAAAGTCTATCATCCTACCTGCTGGTACTTCTGTGATCATCAATACTGTCATTACAGTGGCCAAACATGTACCAAACTGTAAGACTCCAAAGATAAATATTGATCAAACTAGAGAAGTGTGCAACTGCAGTCTCTTTTTTCCAATGATGAAAAGTGTATATATATATATATATATATATATATATATATATATATATATATATATACACTCAATTACTTGGTACAATTGTGTGGTATTTATATGTTATGCTCCTGATCACCTCTATGTCACTGAATTTGAATGAACGGAAATATTGCACCTTTAACTCTGCTATGTTTATTTAACAGCTATAGTTACGGCATATTACATTTGAAATGGGAAACACATGATCAGTGATAAATACTATATGATGGATTATTATAGATTAAACCACCAGACAGTGTATTTAACGGTTAACCCATCAAATGTTATCATCGTATAGGTGCAGACAGCATAATGACAGATTTTTCTTTCAGATATACTACAGTATTTTGCTGGTGTGGGTGTAGGACTTTTAAAATGACTGAATAATCAAAGTTTGATATACTTTCCTACTCCATCTCCAAGATAATCGTTTTTATTCCCCACAAAGTTGAGAGACCTTTGAAACTATACTAACTTTACTTATGGTGTTTATAAAGAAAGTATCTCCTCAAATATTGAGAATAAACAGGGCTAATTTCCTCTAATAAACACAACATGTGCACTCCTAAGAAATGCCAACACTTCAGCCTCTTCTGGTATTAATGCACTGCCACATGCACATTATGTTCGCTCGTGTCTTTGCATAATCTTAACTTTTGAGCCAAACAAGAAGGCATGCAACTAAAGCCGGTCCCTCCGCTCCTCGAGCCCCATTATGTCCCCTCGGGCCTCATTGTTCCTGCTCTCAAAATTAACTCAAGAAACAAAAAGAAGCCTCTTCCCTCATACACGCACTGCCAGACGCTAATAAAGCTTTCTACCTCCTTTGAAGTCGTAGCATCTGGCCGCGTGGGTGGCGTCGCGTAGAATGTATAGTACGTCAAAAAAAGAAAAAATGTATGTGTGCTACGCAGTCAGTAAATGAGGGCAGGCACGCACCATATAGAGGGAACAATTCAGCACCACGGTCAGCGCTCCGACTTCACAGCTGCCTGTGAACGTTGCCACTTTTTGTTTTCTCTACACCTCTGCTTCAGTTCTCAAAGGTTGTTTTTTGTTCTTATTCCAACAGCAGATGTAATGGCTATGAGTCTCTGTGATAAAAATCCAACTTCCACACACGAAAAGGTTCATATTCTTGCCTCAAGTAAAATAAAAAAAGTAATTCAACCAAATGAACTCCTCACCCATTGATTCAATCAAACATTGACCTGGTCAGGTCAGGGCTTTGGTTAACAGTTCGTGGCTTTAAAGTGGAAAAAGTGGCGCAGGTTCATAAGAACTGTCCTGGGGCACAGGAATAACTTCAGCAGGCGGGCCTTTAATCTTCACTCTTTGTAGCTGCCCCCTACGAAGATCAGAAATTGCCAATAATGGAGGTGAATATATTGATGGAAATGTGCTCTGAATATTAACTCTCTTTTTTTCAGAATGCTGCTGCGTCTGGCTTGGGGAGGTAATTCTCTATTAATATGTATTAAAAATAGATGTTACAGGTGAGACCATTTCCCACAGGGTTATATGATCTGATGATGATTCTCCGTCTATTCTACATAAACTCTGGTAGTTTCCAGTTATTAAAAGTGCATTCCAGGTTTGTTTCTCTAAATACTAAGGGATTTCCCCCGTTGTAAGGTTTTTGCTTTTGATATGGCGTTTTTCTGTAGTGGGGGCCTGAGCTTAATTTGTATACTTTATATTGTTTACACGGCGACCTTTCCTAAATAAATATGAGTTTAATTGTTTGGGATCCCACAGTCAGGTTGGCTTAGTTTTTGTTCATTAACATCATAAATTACGATACAGCAATTCAGGTTTTAAATCCATGCATCAGTTAACATGTCATCTGATAAACCTGATGGTGCTACCATTTGGTAATATATTTCCCTGACTGCAAAAACAACAAATCCTTCCCCTGGTATTTCTGATATCACAATAACTCCAAACCTAGCCTACAAGCAGCTACAGAACTGCGTACTGCTACAATCCCAACATGCTAAGATAACATGATATAAATATCCTTTAAAACAAAATAAAAAAATGTGAAACACATTTTCGGATAAACATGGATAAAAAAGTCATTAAAATGCATCTGATTTCATACCCTCAATGCAATCGGCGAAAATGCACGAGATGTTCCCATCGAGCGTTAATTTAAGAGCAACAAGTTCAGTCGACACTTGTTTGACAAAAATACGAAAAACCACTAAACTAAAAAGGCTTAAAACTTCTATATTTGTTGAGACGAAGACATTTTTCAAAATAAATGCATCCTTTCTTAGCCGCAGGTCCGCACATTAGTGGACCCTCCGTCTCTCCATTATAGCTTTCTACAGCCTAACCAACCAGGGGAATGCGCAACCACAGAAAGAACAAATAAAGGGAGCACGGGTAAATAAATCCAACTACTCACCCCTGAGAACAGAGTCACTCTCACAACGACCCGCTGCAGTGAACTTGGATAAAACTCCTGTGCGTCTCTTCCTCAGCAGCAGCCGCACAGGTCTGTCATCCAACAATGTCTCCAAGTCACTTCGATGCGCTCTGCCTCTCTAGAGACGAGGCATGCTTGTGCCTTTCTGCGCACCGGGGCGCCTTATAAACGCGGAGCAACGGGAGACACGGTGACGCGCACGGAGAGAGCCGTGCGCGGGCATTCAAATGAACTGTGGGTGGGTTTAGTTAGGTCGGCTATCGTCATCACTCAGCATGCAACACCCGACCCTCTTCACATACTCAGTCCCATTAGATCCTTCAGAGGGAGGGAAGGGGAAGGCAAGGCGTGTCACACCAACATGCAGACTGTTGACTGTTAACCTTTTTGAACTTGCAATAAAGTCACATTATAGTCCAGTTGGGGGTGAAGTTTTGATCATTGTCAAAACGTTTCGTACAGGGCAGAAGGTTGAACTGCAACTCTGGGATTAAACAACCTGTCACGATCTGTCTGTATTGTGTTTTGTCTTGTCTAGATCTATCTTTTTGTTTCCTGTCTGTGTTCCCTCCTCACCTGTGTCTTGTTTGTTTGATTAGTAGGCCCGTCCACACTACAGCTTCAAAAAAAGCTTGGAGCTGGGCGTGTCTGAAGCTTGGGGATTTTATTAGAGCACGCGACCAACAACCAATCACATGAATCTCCCGCCCCCGACATACAAAGCAAAAAACCCCGGAGATTTTATGCGAGCAATATATATATATATAAACTCCCCAAACAGGCGAAAACCTACCAGTTTCACCCACTGTCTCTGCCACCTCCTTCCATGACTGGTTATTCCGGTTTGTATCCGGGTAGGTGAAGAGGGTCTGGTCATACAAAACCGGGTGATTTGCTACGGCGATAATTAGTTTCTCCTCCATCTTTTTTTTAAATATAGAAATGAACGGCGGGATATCTCTCCCAGCTTAGACGCGGTTTGATTGGCTAGTGCTTGATTGATTGATTGAAAAGTTTATTAACAGCTTGTATATTGGGTACAGTACAGCAGTGGTTCCCAAACGGTGTGCCGCGGCACACTGGTGTGCCGTGGGATTTTGTGACAACCATACGTTATTATTGCAATATACAACTACACAAAAATAATTATTATTTAATTGACTATATCAGTACTTTGTAGGTTTATATTGTACGTAATCTGCGCGACTTGCGCGTCCACATCTCCACGTGCAGTGCTGCATAAACATGGCTGAGTCAGCGATAACTTTCGAGGGGTGGAGGTATGCCCATTATTTTTTGAGTTCGTCCGAAGAATAGACAGGAATGTGACGGTGAGGTGCAAACTGTGTCCAGGCCAGAAGCTGTTATCCACTACTGTAAACACCACGTCTAACCCTATGGTCAAACCTCAACAAACACCTGCAAAGAACACATGCTAAGGTGAAGCTACCGCACACGCTATTTGTTGTTTGTTTATATCACGTCGTCTATTCTTCTTCTCTGTTTTCCGGTTGTTGCCTGTTTTGAATGACAAATACACACTACCGCCGCCTGCTGGTAAGGAAAGTTATTGCCACTCAGGCATGCGCAAGTTCGTACGTGCTCGGCGAGTAAAGTAACGAGTTACTTTATGTAGATAGTAACGAAGTAGTGTAATATATTACTTTTTTTTAAGTAATATGTAATATATAAAAAAAATTAGTAACGACCCCATCTCTGGAGTTGGCGTTCTCTACTCTGATTTACATGAAGAACAACAGGAGGTCACGGGACTCACGGCTCTCTGTTGAACAGGACTTGCGAGTGGCCCTCTCCTCAGTGCCACCAAGGATAAAAAAAATCTGCACGCCCCGAAAGGCACATGTATCTCACTAATTTGTAAGTCGGCAAAATATTTACAATAGCACATGTTTCAATGCTGATTGCTGAAATGTTAATTTTCTGACCTGTCTGGTTTAAATGAGTGTGTTGCTGCTTTGACCCTAATTTGATAAAGTTTCAAATGAATTTCTGAAATATTTCGTTAATAAATATTTCATTACATTACATTGCATTTAGCTGACGCTTTTATCCAAAGCGACTTACAATAAGTACGTTCGACTAGGAAGACACAACCTTGAAGAAAACATAATCATATAAGTACATCAGGTTTCATAGAGCCAAAACATTTCAAGTGCTACTCAACTGGCTTTAGATAAGCCAGTCCTTTATTAGTATATAAGTGCTTTGTTAATAGTTCTACCGCTCGAAGTGGAGTCGAAAGAGATGAGTTTTCAGTCTGCGCCGGAAGATGTGCAAGCTATCTGCTGTCCTGATGTCAATGGGGAGCTCATTCCACCATCTTGGAGCCAGGATAGCAAACCCACGTGTTTTTGCCGATGGGAACTTGGGTCCCTCTCGCAGCGAGGGCGCAGCGAGTCGTTTGGCTGATGCAGAGCGTAGTGCTGGGGTGTACGGTTTAACCATGTCCTGGATGTACGAAGGGCCAGATCCATTCGCAGCATTGTAAGCAAGTACCAGTGTCTTGAAGTGGATTCTAGCAGTTACCGGAAGCCAGTGAAGGGAGCGGAGGAGCGGAGTGGTGTGGGAAAATGTAGATAGGTTGAAGACCAGACGAGCCGCTGTATTCTGGATGAGCTGCAGAGGTCGGATGGCACATGCAGGTAGACCAGCCAGGAGGGAGTTGCAGTAGTCTAGGCGTGAGATGACGAGAGCCTGGACCAGAACCTGCGTCGCTTTCTGTGTCAGCTGGGGACGTATCTTCCTGATGTTGTAAAGCGTGTATCTGCAGCAGCGGGTTGTAGCAGCAATGTTTGCAGTGAAGGACAGTTTATCTAGGATCACACCCAGATTCCTTGCAGTCTGAGTCGGGGAAACAACTGAGGTGCCAATGTTGATTGTTAGGTCAAGAGTGGGACAATCTTTTCCCGGAAGGAAGAGCAGCTCAGTCTTGTCAAGGTTGAGCTTGATGTGATGAGCAGACATCCACTGAGAGATGTCAGCTAGACAAGCAGAGATGCGTGCGACGACCTGGGTCTCTGAGCGGGGAAAGGACAGAATTAATTGGGTGTCGTCAGCGTAGCAGTGGTATGAAAAACCATGCGGGCTAATGACTGATCCGAGCGAGTTTGTGTACAGGGAGAAGAGGAGGGGACCAAGAACAGAGCCCTGAGGGACCCCTGTAGTTAATTGACAAGGGTCGGACTCAGAACCTCTCCAAGTCACCCTGTAGGTACGGTCTTTCAGATATGAGGTGAGGAGGGAAAGTGCAGAGCCTGAAACTCCAAGTTTTTGGAGAGTGCGAAGGAGGATCTGATGATTCACCGTGTCGAATGCAGCAGACAGGTCCAACAGGATGATGACAGAGGAGAGGGATGCAGTTTTGGCAGTGTGCAGTTCCTCCGTGACAGCAATGAGAGCAGTTTCTGTGGAGTGACCTGCCTTGAAACCAGACTGGTGCGGATCCAGAAGGTTGTTCTCATGGAGATAACAGGAGAGTTGTTTAAAGACAGCGCGTTCAAGTGATTTAGACAGGAACGGGAGGAGAGAGACAGGCCTGTAGTTTATAACATCAGACGGGTTGGGAGTAGGTTTCTTTAGGAGAGGGTTTACTCTTTTCTCCTTGAGACTGTTTGGAAAGTGACCAGAAGTTAGAGAAGTGTTGATGAAATGGGTGAGAAACGGTAGAATATCAGGAGCGATAGTCTGAAGGAGGTTTGAAGGGATAGGGTCCAGAGGACAGGTGGTAGGGCGGGCAGAGGTAATGAGGGTAAGAACCTCACTTGGAGAGAGAGGGGAAAAGGAGGTTAGTGTGTTGGTGGAAGGAGGGTCTGGTGACCCAGCGGTGAGTAAAGGTGAGTCAGAAAAAGCAGAGCGAATATCATCAACCTTTTTTTCAAAGTGGGTAACAAAGTCGCTTGACAGAAGTGAGGAGGGGGGAGGGGCTTTTGGAGGGTCCAAGAGGGTGGAGAAGATGGAAAATAGTTTTTTGGAATAGGAAGATTGGATCTTATCTTGAAAGAAAGTGCTTTTTGCCTGAGAGATCGAAGCAGAGAAAGAGGAGAGGAGAGCCTGATAGGTTAGGAGGTCGTCACGGTGTTTGGATTTCCACCGTTTCCGCTCTGCTGCCCTAAGGACGGTTCTATTAGCACGCAGTGCATCATTTAGCCAGGGAGCAGGAGGGGACTGACGAGCCTGCCGAGATGTGAGAGGACAGAGAGTCCAGAGTGGATGAGAGAGTAGAGAGGAGAGATTCTGCAGCAGAGTTTGCAGGCAGGAGTTGGAATGAGTCAGAGGAAGGGAGGGCTGAGAGCACCGACGAGGCAAAGGTAGAGGGGGAGAGGGAACGAAAGTTACGGCGGACAAGTGCAGGATGAGAAGAGATTAGTTTGTTATGTTTGGAAAGGGGTAGAGAGAATGAAAAGAAGAAGTGATCGGATGTGTGGAGCGGGTTTACAGAGAGGTTAGAAGTAGCGCAGTTCCTTGAGAATATGAGATCAAGGACATTGCCAGCTTTATGAGTCGGTGGGGACGGAGACAGTGAGAAAGCAAAGGCGGTTAACAGGGATGTTAGTTTGTCTATCTTCCCCGTCTGGAGGTTGAAGTCTCCGAGAAGTACAGCGGGAGGGCCAGTTTCAGGGATGTGTGAGAGGAGATTATCTAATTCCTCCAAGAAGTCCCCCAAGGCGCCTGGTGGACGGTAGAGAACAACAATGGTTAACTGTATAGGATGGGTTACTGTGACGGCATGGAATTCAAAGGTGGAAGAAGTGAAGTTAGGTAGCTTGAAGAGGGAAAAGCTCCATTTGGGAGAGAGCAGGAGACCAGTGCCACCTCCTCTGCCAGTTGGTCTGGGTGTATGGGAGAAGGAATATGCAGTGGAGAGAGCTGCTGGGGTGGATGTGTTGGATGGAGTAATCCAGGTCTCAGTGAGAGCAAGGAAATCCAGCGATTGCAGGGAGGCGTAGCCAGAGATTAAGTCAGCCTTAGGAACAGCTGACTGGCAATTCCACAGGCCACCTGAAACTAGATGTTGGATCTCAGTGGAGCATGTGGGATAGACGAGAGCAGGCCGGTTATATCGATTACGAGATACACGGGGCCAGTGATAATTGCGAGAAGACACATGAACAGGAATGGAGAAAATACACATGATTATAGCATGAGGGGTTAGAAAACTAAAGAAAAGAGAAATAAGACACCAGCTCAATCAGAGTAGGATTTGCCTCCTCTTTGCCTCCCTCGTGATTCCCGTAGGACTCCAATGTCTTTGTTAGTCTTACTCCCGCAGGACTCCAATGTCTTCGGCTGTCTGACGCTGAAGCTGACGCTCCAGGAGAGAGCTACCTAAAATGGACGTCTGATTGCTGAGTTCTCACAGCTGTGGGGCCACGCCCCTCTAATTAGTTAACTCTCTACAGCTGATGGGCGACAGCAGAGTGGCCCTGCCTATATTGTAATGCAGGCTTGAGTGCCCACTGAGACCTGTGTAACAGGTTCACTTGAGCAGATCTGAGATTTAAAATCTCTCAAAAGCACCGTTTTAGCTACAATAACTACAGAACAATTATATAGAGTAGAATAAATGAAACAGAGAAGTCTAATTAAACAAGAATATAACTTACAGTGGTTGCTGCGTCAATAGGAAATGTCGTCACCCGGTCAGAGTTCATCAGATTTTAAATGCGGTATTTAAATGCTTTTTTAGGTGAAAGATGACTGAGTCACGCGGTTGTACTTCACGCAATCAATAGACTGGCCCTGCCTATATTATAATGCAGGATTGAGAGCTGAGACCTGTGAAGCAGGTTTCGCCTGAGCAGATCTGAGATTTAAAATCTCTCAAAAGCGATTTAGCCGTTTTAGCTACAATAACTACAGAACAATTATACAGAGTAGAATAAATGAAACAGAGAAGTCTAATTAAACAAGAATATAACTTACAGTGGTTGCTGCGTCAATAGGAAATGTCGTCACCCAGTCAGATGTACACTGAGTTCATCAGATTTTAAATGCGGTATTTAAATGCTTTATTAGGTGAAAGATGACTGAGTCACGCGGTTGTACTTCACGTAATCAATAGACTGGCCCTGCCTATATTATAATGCAGGATTGAGAGCTGAGACCTGTGAAGCAGGTTTCGCCTGAGCAGATCTGAGATTTAAAATCTCTCAAAAGCGATTTAGCCGTTTTAGCTACAATAACTACAGAACAATTATACAGAGTAGAATAAATGAAACAGAGAAGTCTAATTAAACAAGAATATAACTTACAGTGGTTGCTGCGTCAATAGGAAATGTCGTCACCCGGTCAGATGTACACTGAGTTCATCAGATTTTAAATGCGGTATTTAAATGCTTTATTAGGTGAAAGATGACTGAGTCACGCGGTTGTACTTCACGCAATCAATAGACTGGCCCTGCCTATATTATAATGCAGGATTGAGAGCTGAGACCTGTGAAGCAGGTTTCGCCTGAGCAGATCTGAGATTTAAAATCTCTCAAAAGCGATTTAGCCGTTTTAGCTACAATAACTACAGAACAATTATACAGAGTAGAATAAATGAAACAGAGAAGTCTAATTAAACAAGAATATAACTTACAGTGGTTGCTGCGTCAATAGGAAATGTCGTCACCCGGTCAGATGTACACTGAGTTCATCAGATTTTAAATGCGGTATTTAAATGCTTTTGTGGTAACCGTGACTGAGGTTGCCATATGTAAAGCTAGTCACTGACAACGCCACCTCCTGCTAAGGGGCAGGAGGAACCCGTGGACCCTAAATGTAAGTCGTGGATCGATTTTTTTAAAGCTTCCCTTAATCGGTCCAATTATGACAGAGGCATGAATTCCAAAAACATAACACAGCTTTATTTAACAAGTGTTGGAAACAGTTTAAAATGTCGATTCATGTCCAGTATAAAAATGGCAAATACAATTCAATACATATATAAGTTAGCCTCCTCAGTTGGGCAGGCCCGGTCCGCTGGGTTGCAGTGCCTGCTAATCGTGAGGGACAAAAACAAGAAAAGCCACACACCAAAACAACATAAGCATGCAATATTTAAACCACAATCTCTATAAAATAATAACAGTGAGATATTTAGCATACAGAAAATAAAGTGTCACACCGTGCAGTCCCTACACTGAAGGCAGGCAGCATTCCACCCGGGCCCAGGCCTACGCCGCAGAGGAGCGCAACCTACGACACAAATATTAAAATGATTATACTGCCATACACTGCACATGAAGAACATGGGTAAGAAAATACACAAGAAACACTATAGGACAGTGGCTGGCCTGGTCCTTTTGAAAAGGAAACAACATAACATGTTAGTTGCCAGCCTCATTCACCAACTCAATATAAAATGAAAGAGTTAAAAACAAGGCATACTTCCACAGAGTAGGTTTCCAACTCGGCTTAATCCTGCCGGGGAAATGGTCACTTAATATCCCGGGTAGCTGGGCCGGTTGTGTACATTAAGCTCTGTAAAAACACATAAATAAGTTGCTTAAAACACAATTAAAAACGTCGGTTTAAAAACGCCATTTAAAAGCAAATTACTCATAACAGACCCGGTCTTGTGCCTGTCGGGAGAGTTTTCCTCCGTCAATGGTAAACTCTCGTCTTGCACTCGCCCTAATAAAACCAAACTAAATGAGCCACTTGCATAAGTTAATTTAAAAGACCATAAAACCACCTTAAAACTGTTATTCCTACCTTTGTGAGAGGGAGAAGACCAGTGACAAGCAGCCAAGAGAGACTTTCTTGAACTGACGGCAAACTTTTTATGGCTTCCTGTTTACTCGGTCACCGGTCATGTGACCGCATCAGGTGACAAGACGTCAGATTCCCACTCTTTTTTAGGTGAAAGATGACTGAGTCACGCGGTTGTACTTCACGCAATCAATAGACTGGCCCTGCCTATATTATAATGCAGGATTGAGAGCTGAGACCTGTGAAGCAGGTTTCGCCTGAGCAGATCTGAGATTTAAAATCTCTCAAAAGCGATTTAGCCGTTTTAGCTACAATAACTACAGAATAATTATACAGAGTAGAATACATGAAACAGAGAAGTCTAATTAAACAAGAATATAACTTACAGTGGTTGCTGCGTCAATAGGAAATGTCGTCACCCGGTCAGATGTACAGATGTTAGGTTGGAGGGCGCTCAGTTTAATGAGTACCTCTGCTGTTGTTACCCTTGCTAGACTGAAATCATCTTTGCGTACCCCTAGGTTTTTGTAGTAGGTCATGATGTGATCTACCCCAAAAAGCCCTGAGTGGGAGGGTAATTTATTTACAAGAGTTGTGGCTATGTTTGTGAAAAAAATGTTCAAGTACTTGGCCACATCCAGTTTGTCTGTGATGAGCCTGTTATCTGTCTTTATGTTTAAGTTCGAAAATCTCGTTTTGAGTTTTTTACTGCAGCCAAGCTGGTTATTGAGTAATTTCCAAAGTTCACGGGGTTTATTTTTGTTATCCTCAGTTTTGACATTGATGAAATTCTTTTTGGCAGTTTTGATCATGGAGCTTACGTCATTTCTTAGTCTGTTTCTTTCAATTTTTAGTTCAGTCACGTGGGCCTGGAGTTCACTGCTCGTGCTTTTGGAAAGCATTGACTGACTTTTATGAAACTCAGAGCATTTTTTGTCTCTGGTTTTCATGGCGGTCAGTATGCCGGAGTGCATCCACGGCTCAGCGCGATTTTTTTTACCCTGGTTGTTCTTAAGGGGGGCCAAATCATTGAGTATTGCAGAGAATTTGTTTTTGAAACCAAGCCATGTTTCTTCAGCTTGTGTACCACTGAGCTCATCTGACCAGTCCAGGCTCTCCAGTTCTAGGTTAAAGGCCTCGCTAGAGTAGTTTTTGAGGTCTCTAGATATGACTGTTTTGTGACAGCCGGCCCTTTTGTTTTAGCTTTTTGCGGGTACAGAATATCATATAATGATCACTTAAACCGCATGCTATAACCCCTTTACTGGAGATCCTGGACTTGTCAGAGGTCAGAATGAGATCAATGGTAGTTTGTGTTGTTTCACATACCCGGGTGGGTTGGGTGATTAGCTGGCTGAAGCCGTGCAGATCACAAATCCTACTGAAGGACTTGAAGACGGACGTGTCTTTACGTTACATATCCGTGTTCCAGTCTCCAATAATAATTGTTTGAGCTGTCAGATTTTCAGAAACGGGATTTGATTGGCTGGCGCTGGCTACTCCGGCGTCTCCGCGTCAAAAGTTGAACGTTGTAAACTTCTGACGCCGGAGACGGACCGCTATGCTACCCACAATTCAGTTCGGCGAAAAGCGAGGCAACTTGACGTCACCCCATTCAAAGTGAATGGGCGTGTTGGAAACCGTTTTTGAAGCTGTCGAAGCTGTAGTGTGGACGGGCCGTAGGTTCTGTGTGTTCTGTTAGTCTTTGTGAGATCCTTGTTTGTCTTTGACTGTGTTCACAGGGAAGAGTTCTGTATGTTACTATTTAGCCTTGAAATAAAGGTATTTTCTGTTTGTTCTGCATTTGGGTCCTGCCTGCTTCACTCAACCCTTATTTATGTTGCTTTGGCATGTATGGCAATAATCCATTAATATCCAATTGTATGATGGGCACCATGCAGATCAATGAGCACCAGGAGACCAACAGTGCAAACACTTTTCTAGAGATGTTATTCATTATATTTAACCTTCATCCAGCCCAGAGAAAATCCCATTGAGAGCCCTCTAAAAAGTAAAAAGAAACTGTAAATGAGACCACAGATTAAAAAAACCCAGCATTTATTGAGGATTTACCTTTACACTGTTTTTAAATGTTACCCTTAGGGAATCAATTTTTAGATAACTATGCGGGGAGCTTCAAATAGACGGAGGAAAGCTCTTCAGCTCACTAAATGCACTCAATCGAAACCAATTTTAAAAAGGGGACTACCAGCTTTTTAAGAAATGTAATGAAACTGCTATGAATGAAGGTTGCTATGAATAAAGTGATTTTTTTTTTTCTAACAATTTATATGAACATGGTTTCAATGAAGAACAAAATGACCAATACAAAGGTGCATATTCAAAGGTTTAAGGTTTAATCCACCTTCATTAAAAGACAGGAAGGATGAGGGTAACCATTCTTGTGCAATAAAAGCACAGTCATCCTGCACACTGCACAACTTCTTTTGAGATGACCCTCAAAAGCTGTAAATCAGCTAACCTGATGACCTTACAATCCATTTGCAGAATACTCCCTTTTGTAACAAGTTTTTAAAATATATCGCAAAACAGATGTATTTTTGATGCATGCTTGAAGAGGTCATGTCCCGGGTCAATGTAAAGAGCAACTTTGAAAGAGACAAACATAATAATGAATATATTTAATTTAGACAAATCCTCCTGTTATATTGAGTTTTAGATGATTAGCTGTTGGTGCATGTTGCCTATATCAATCAATGTTTATTTATATAGCCCAATATCACAAATGTTACATTTGTCTCAGTGGTCTTCACAGTTTGTAAAGAATATCAGTATGACAATACGACACCCTCTGTCCTTAGACCCTCATATCGTACAAGGAAAAACTTCCGGAGAAAACCCACAGTTTAAAGGGAAAAATGGGAGAAACCTCAGGGAGAGCAACAGAGGAGGGATCCCTCTCCCAGGACGGGCAGACGTGCAATAGATGCCGTGTGGAAATCGAAAAGATAATACATTTACAACATAGGTAGTCCAAATGTTTGGAAATGCACGTGTCTATAATAAGAAGATGAATCCACGAGGATGTCAGCAATCTTGTGGGAGCCATCAGGGAAGTAGTATGGTGAGAGTCTGGCAGGACCGCAGAGACAGGTTCAGCCACGACTCGAAGTCCAGGACTCAGATCCAGTGCTCAGGATAGAGGATCCAGGACACACGACCACAGCAACAGGATCAGCCTCGACTCAGGATCCCGGCGTATATATGGACACAAAAAAGAGATTTGGGGGAAGCTGGGTTAATCGGAACATGAGAGTACACAGGTACAAACAGCCAGAAAGACGGAGTAAGGTGCCCCCCCAACAGTCCAAGCCTATAGCAGCTAAACTAACGTGTCTACATACATGCACTCCCTTAGGATAGGTTGAGGGAAAAGGGTAGCAAGTAAGAAGTAGGAAACAGAGGTGGAGAGGCACGCAGGGAGAGAGGTCCCCACTGGAACCTGAATTGGTTAGAGGTAAGGAGTAGGTCTGTGGCTATGTTCCACACTCCCGGGCCGGGCTAGGCCTTCTCTGCAACCTGTTACCCTCTATTAGAACCTCGAGAGGTCTGAGAGGGGAAAGGTTTGGATAAAGTTTTAAATATAAGATCTAAGTTTTTAGGATTTAAGTGAAAGAGTAAGAACTCAAATGTATAGGTGAAGAGGCACAATGTATCTACGTCAATGCACTCTTATTAGATTATTTTATTTTATCACTATAAGCTTTATCAAAAAGAAAGGTCTTAAGCGTACTCTTAAAAAAGGATAGGATGTCTGCCGCCCGAACACAAACTGGGAGCTGATTCCACAAATGTGGAGCTTGATAAGAAAAGGTTCTGGCTCCCATTGTACTTTTAGAGACTCTAGGAACAACCAACAACCCTGCATTCTTGGAACGCAATGCCCTAATAGGACAGTAGGGTATAATGAGTTATTTAAGGTAAGATGGCGCCTGCCCATTAAGGGCTTTGTAGGTGAGAAGAAGACTTTCAAATTCTATCCTGTGTTCTATAGGGAGCCAGTGTAAGGCTATATGGTCTTTAATGTATTACAGCTTCCCCTGTTTGACAGCCTGAGTTCCTATCCTATTTGTTTTTCTTTGTTTTACACTGATGTGTGTGCAGTGTTGGGACTAACGCGTTACAAGTAACGCGTTACTGTAACGTCGTTATTTTGGCAGTAACTAGTACTCTAGCGCATTACTTTTCAAATTCAGTAACGCAGTTACCGTTACTACATGGTGCGTTACTCCGTTACTGCGTTCGTTTTTTTATATAGCGAACAGAGATGAGAACTGTACTTAAGTACAGTACTTGAGTAAATGTACTTTGATACTTCCTGTGTCACATGCGGAGACGGGCTGTGGGCGTGTTTGTGTTGTTTACTAACAAGACTATCATGGCGGCGGCGGAGCTCAAGTCTAGTTTCTCCACCTGGAGATATTCTCACTATTTCACTTTTGTCGAGCACAAAGAAAAGAACGTTTTAGTTAAATGTAAGTTGTGTCTTGGCGGGTCAAAGATCCTATCTACTGCCCAAACCAGTAATTCAAATCTCTTAAAACATCTGCAAAAATAACATGCTGGGACGAAGCTAGAAGCTAAGACCACAGAGACTCAGCCGACGCCACTCCACCTCCACCTAAGCAACAGCGGCTGGATTTTAACCAAGGGACTGCTAGCCAGGGAAAAGTCGATAAAGCCATTGCACGGTATGTTGTAGAACACATGCAGGCTATTGCTACAGTGGAGTCACCCGCTTTCAGGGAGCTAGTTAGCATGATAGCATGTCCGGGCGGCACACGGCATATGGGACGGAAAACTTTTTCCAACTACCTGGAGAAAGAATATACAAAAATGGAAAGCCAGCTAATATCGATGCAATCCAGATTGCATATAATGCATGTCAAGTTGATCAACAGATTGTATTATTCTCCAATGCAATAACAGTACTGAAATGAAGGCTATAAGGGCATTAATGGGAGCCCTTCTTGCAAATAGCGAAAACGTTACTTTTCACAGTAACGCATTACTTTTGGGTGTAAGTAACTAGTAAAGTAACTGAGTTACTTTTGACATGAAGTAACTAGTAATAGTAACTAGTTACTG